TTCTTGCTGCCGATCAAACTGCACGGGCTCCCAGCCGCCACCCGCGATGAGCCGCCCACCTCCCTTTGTTGCAGCCTCCGCCCGCTCAGCGAAGCGTCCGCTGGCTCTGCCGCGGCGTCGCCCACCCCACAGGAGACGGCCCCGGATGCTGCGCCGTACCTGCTGCGTTGGAGACACCCTGCGGCCTGGTACTCCTTTACCCGCCAACTCCGTCCCCGACGGCGCTTGGGCAAACCAGACGCAATCGCTGCTGCTAATTGCCCGTTTTCTTGTTGTCGAATACCGGTTCCTAGGCTGGATGGATCGAAGCTTCGGTACCTCCTTCGAATGAACACTCGGGACATCGCCCGCCGCCGCCGTAACACGTTGCTCCTCATCTTCAGGATCTCCCTCCTGAGGCAGAAAGTGCCGATGAGGGAGCGGACGATCAGAGTCCGCTACCCCCATATCTCCACGTTCCCTAGGCAACAGGGGCCTCGGAAGCTGACCCGGTGACTGATGTTGCGCGGAACTTCCGCTGCTAACCATATTATGGAACTTCCGTGCTCTGTTTGACCGCAAACCGCCTCGCGGCGGTCTTCTCGGCAACGACCTCGCAATTGCTTCTGCGTGCTGTCTCCATGCGGTGTCTTCAACCACAGGTTTCCTAGGCTGAATCGGCCGGAACGTTGATGCCGCATTCGCCCGTGATTCGTATCTTCGTAACCGTCCCAGGCTCTCCCCGTGCTCTGCGGCCCTCTCAGAAGCTGCCACCACATCTACACCGGCTCCTGTCGCACCATCTCCGAGCCCCGAACCCGACCCGCTCACGTTCTCACCCTCTTCTCCATCCCCGACTGACAACGAACAGGCTTCAGGGTGAGCAACCGCCTCGCTTAACTTCACTGCAGGACTGTCCGCCATGCTGCTGCCTCCTCGACGTCGACTGCCGTAAATTGGCAACAGGCTATAAAGCTTTGGCTCCGGAGCACCTCCACTTGGACAGTCTCGCTTGTTGACGACGCTACTTCTCCCGAATGGGAAGCTCCTAACCATCACTTCCTCATGGCCGTGGCGTTTCTTCCTTATAGCTTCCTATAAAATGCTTCCTATGGTACCGAGGCGATGCAATACTACCCCTCTATATTCCCCCGTTACCATGCCTATCTATGTGCGTCCACCGTCCCGGCCTCGCCTGGTCTCCACGTGCGACCTGCTACCCCAGCTTTGCCAAAAGCGACCCTTCCATCGCCGTGCTCTCTTTTGCGCACTCCAGCGAATCCCTGGCCACTGCCGACCTCCGGCACATGGAGATGGCCGCGACAACCGCCTGCCGCACACTTCAAACCATACTCTTCAGCCCTTCCAACACCATCCTACCAACCTTGCGCATCAGTTCACCATCAATACCCGCCAATCCGCCTCGTCGAGCAACAGCCACAAGGCTGCCGGCGATAACATGTCCATGACGTCCTCATGCAGCCGGACTACCCTTCTAGATTTGCTCCCTCGCCAGCACCAATGTCGCATCAACGGCCTTAATGCTAAAGCGATAGCCAGGACCCCCCTGCCTGTCCTCTTGTAGTCGCTAGCCACCGGAGTCTCGACTTGCAAACCCTCTTGAAAGTTCTCGTGACCAACTCGCATCCTCCTCCTCAGGTCGACCCATATATCCGACTTCACCGTGTCCCAATAGTAGACTCGACACGGTCGGCACCCGCCTCGCTCAGCCGCACGCAATGCCCATCCAACTACCGACGACCGTCAAAAGGGAGTCCTGCAATACTACCATAACCTCTTTCTTTCCTTCACTCTCATTCGTTATTGCCCCCTTTGCTATCTACTCCATGCAACGATGACACCGAAGGGGACTACTGGACTTTCTTTCTCCGCAGTCTTACCCACACTAACCTTACCGTTCGCCGACCTCCAACTTCTCGCAACATAGCCATCACCCCTACTCAACTTCCAACCCCGGCTCCTACTTCACTCACGACCACAGAACCAGATGGTCGAGACTGCTCGAGAACCTCGCCAGCTCATTCCCGCATACCCCGCTTCTGATCTATCACCTAGGTAGCATTCACTGACTCTCAAGTCTCCCGACCCGAGCCACGAGCCCTCTTTCGAGCAGCAAGAAAACCTGCTTTATAGGATGCCTACCTCTACTCTGCCTAACCCTCCTTTACACTTCCACGGTGACCACATCTGCCATGTTCTCACGATGTCGGCCTCCCAGCTCGACGTCGATACCTCGTCCTCCCGCGGCAACCTCTTGACAGCCAGAAAATGCTGGCGCCGACATGTCCATGATGGCCTTTGTCCAGCCCGGCTGCCCGTCTAGGTTCGCCTACCAGAATGAGCATCGTGTCAAAGGGCTCAACGCAGAAACCCTAGCGAGGGTCTTCCTTCCAACGCCCTCATGGCTGTCGACTCCAGAGTATGCAGCAATCCGGTCAGATACTGACAATCCATCGACCTGCATCTTCTTGAGCCTTAATATTTCCATATACAACCAACAGATAATCCTCGGAATGGACCGAGCAGTGGTTCTTTATGGTCGGCCGTGTTCATCCTTTGCCCTGACGTGGAAATCGAGCGACGTGATAGCTTCGAGTCGGAGGATGACAACATTACAGAATACACCATCCCGGCTCTCATCGTCCGCGACCACAGCTACCAGCCGTAGGTGTATGCTCCAGACCTCCGTCACCACTACCATCTCTGACGATGGCCACAGAGTCATCCTCGCACCCTCGGCTCGGCGGATGCCTTCCCAGCGATACAACCCATTGTCTCCTTCACGGGACCTGTCATCGGTTCCGGCCGCGACCTTCTGCATGGAAACTCGGCTGCGGCCCTTGACGACACCCAGCTGAGCTGTTGCGGCTTTGTCCAGCTCTCGACCTTTATCTGTCCTGGGATTCCGGGCAAACACCCTTCAAGGGCTTTCATCCTTTCAACTTTTCGTCATCTTCCCATTCACGCCAATCCTTGACCTCCTATGCAAGAAGATGACCGAGAGGCGCGATAGCCAGTTCCAGCCGAACGCTCTCCTCACCTGCACGGGCAAATCGCCGGCTTACTCGATCACCAGATCATGACACATGCCCCGGCCTTCGAGCAAGACTATATCTTCATCGTCGTCCCCGATACATGGACTTTCCTTGACAGGGCCATGTCCAACCAGGCTTCTGCGACACAGCTACTGCCGACGACACCCAAGGGCTCAGTCGGCAACCCTCGGACTATAGCGATGCGTTGGCCAGGTTTACCTCTACCAAAAACGCAATGCCGCCCCAAGCGGCGCCTCCCACGCCGCCTGCATCTAGGTCAGTCGATCTTTATGATGACATCAAAGCGGTCATTGCCCGATCCCGACCAAACCCCAACCAAGAGACCGCGACTTTCTCCAGAAATTTCCACCATAGTCGCCGCCTGTGATAGTCGAGGCCCCGCCAAATCCGACACTTCCTCCCTTCTGTCCCACGAAGACCCCGGAGACTCAGAGACGGACACCGAGCCAGTCAATCACCCAGCCACATCCGCCTCTGGCCCTATCAGACCTCCGGCGTCAATCTCTTCCCGACCGCACCGCGCCCGACATCCGCCCAAGAATATTCTGTAAAGCAACGAACGAAACAACACAACATGACAAGGAACATGTTTCATCATCCTCAAACTCAAGTGCGAAAGGCCCTAATGGGATATTTCCTTCTCCTCTTGCTCTCCTTTTCACAAAGACAATCCAGTCAAAACTTCTCCAATATACTCCTTATTCTGTTTATATCCACCACTTATAGCACCTGTAAATCCTCAGAGACATGCATTACCCACTCACATCTCTCTTCAACCCTGCCGTCTCTCCAAGCCCTTTGCGCCTTTGCAAAGCAAAATCTCCTTGCAGCGGCCTAGGCTGCCTCTCTGACGCTCTGTCTCGATTTCACTCACGATAATGCTCTACGTCTCTCGCCGGATCTCCATCTCATATCTCTTATCTCACTCTTCTTCCTGTCTTCCTCTCACTTCCCTGTCTCCTATCTCCTGTCGCCAACTCTCTCTCTCGCCGACTTTCTCCTGTCGCCATCGCCAACTTTCGTTCCGAAAGGCCTCTTTGCGCGAGCCGCGGCTGGCGAGCCTTCCTCGTACCCTGCGAGCCCTCTCCCCCTCCCCACCAAAGTTTTTTCCCCCCGTCTTTCCCGCCTCCTGATTCGCTGGCGTTCCCGCTCTGGATTCGTCGGTGTTCCTGCTTTTAATTCGTCATAATTAAGTAAAAATTATAGAAAGGCATAGTACGTGCCTCTCTGCCAGTCGCCTCCCCTCCTCTTTTGCCCTCTCCCCTTGCTGCCCCTCTTCCCTTTCCCTTTCCCGTCCGTTTGGTTGTCTCTTGAAGGGCCCTCCTTATACTTATATGGATGCAAAACGCGGGCTGCCCACGTGGCCTGGTAGCCCTAACTATCGTTAAGCCGGTGGCGTCGCCGCAATAGCTGCTTGCTTTTGCCTACGGAACACGAGACCCGCCGAAAGCTCCCCAGTGGAGTCAGAGTCTCTGCCCCAACAAGACAGAGAAACAAGCTATGATAGCCAAAGGTCGACTGATTCAAGCGATCCAAGTCCTGAAGGAGTCACCCGGGACACGATCGTAGTTCAACCGCTGCCACCACGCCGGCGACCTTCCTCAGAAGGCAATAGCATGCAACCGGACAAGCAGCCGTCAGGTGACCAACCAATTCCTGAAGAACCACGCGGCAAAACGCGCACCCGCCGCAGTCAACAGGAGATTTACGGTGACCAGCCAACTCGCAAGAGTGACCGGACACCAAAGCCAAAACGGAAGCACGATGATTACGTCAACAGCGTTTTCACGACCCTGCTTCCAGCGGATCAACATCCAGAGGGAAACCTCGAAATATTTCATAGTGTCTTCCTTGCCGCAGTCTCTAAGACGGCACGAGATCATCGATTTCACCGCGATGACCTTGTACGACTCCTAAACGCTACCAGGATCTAGAAACCACCCGATGGGCCCAGACTTCAAAGAGGCCATAAGGAAGGAATTGCATGATCTCCTCCGACGAGGCACTTGGAGACTGGTCAAACGTGAAAAAGCACAGGGACCGCCTCTTCCACTGAAGTGGGTGTTCACCTATAAGTTTGATCAGGATGGCTATCTCCAAAGGTGCAAAGCTCGGATCTGCGTCCGTGGCGACCTGCAGGACGAGGACGACGGACGGGAGACATATGCAGCCACACTTGCAGCAAAAACCTTCAGAATCGTGATGGCAATCGCAGCCCGATTCGATCTTGACGTTAGACAATTCGACGTTAGTAACGCCTTCCTATACAGCGACATAAAGAAGGACCACCCCGTCTACGTCCGGCTCCCGCAAGGCTTCGTAGAACTTGGTTTCTTGAAATCTGGAGAAGGCTCAACCATGATCGCGGAACTTGACAAGGCTTTGTATGGTCTTCGAGAGTCTCCACTGCTTTGGTACAATGAGATCTCCCAGGCGCTCAAGGAGGCAGGGATTGACCGTACGGATGAAGAACCTTGCGTATTCACCAACGGCAAAATCCTGGCTCTTGTCTATGTCGACGACATCTTGATTCTCAACCCACGGCAAGAGAAGAAGGCTGTAAACGACCTTGTACAACATCTCCAATCCAAATACGATTTGCGCGAGGAAGAGTTCAAGTGGTATCTTGGCATCAGAGCTGTAAGGGATCGACCAAACAGGAAGGTCTACCTCTGCCAAGACGCGTACATCGAGAAAATTGCGCGAAAGTTCAAGCTCAGCGACTTGAAACTCCGAGTACCATCAATCCCCATCGCGACGATCCCGCTCGTCAAGTACAACGGGCAGGCTACCAAGGAAGAGATAAAGGCGTATCAGGAACGAGTTGGATCCTTGATGTACATCGCGGTCATGACCAGACCCGATATAGCACGAGCAGCAGCCCAGCTCGCGAGGTTCCTGACAAACCCATCGCCTGAACACCTTGAAGCCGCAAACCAATGCATCCGTTACCTCTATTCAACGAGATTCTTGGCGATCGTGTACGATGGAGCGTACGAGGGAGGTACTTGTGATCGCAAGCGACGCGTCATTTGGAGATGATGTCGAGACCCGTCGTTCATCGCAGAGATATGTGATGATGTTGTTCAACGGACCGGTCATATGGAAAGCTGGGCTCCAGGACACAGTCACGACTTCGACCACCGAAGCAGAAATTCTCAGCCTAGAGAGAACAACCAAGGAGAGCTACGCCCTGGACCGACTATTACGGGATATCTCTCTTGATCTCGGGCCTCTGAAGATTTACTGCGACAACCTTCAGTCGATCCGACTGGTGGTTGAGGAGAACCAGAGAATCACGACCAAGTTGCGGCACGTTGACATACAGAACATGTGGCTAAAACAGGAATTCAAGAAGGGTAGGTTCCTAGTGGAATACTTGAAGACTGATCAGATGCCAGCAGACGGATTGACAAAAGCGCTATCGAGAGCGAAATTCGAGCACTTCCGATCGATGCTAAATCTGACAGATATCAAGAGGGAAGCAAATTTGGAAGTGGGATGTCGATGACCTTCTAGGTCAGGCTGGTTGTGATAGCTTCTAGCAGCGTTGACTTGATCACTCAACGCTGGGGGGTGTGTCGCATATCAAGCCTGCCTAGGATGATTACTCATGAAGTGGCGATATTACTACGCAACGCCGCTGTTGCCTTCTAGGCAACAGCTAATGCGTAGGCAGGCAACAAGCCTTTCATTTGTGTATAAAGAGCTGCATAATTCCCTGCAGCTCGTTCACTCACTTCTTGTTCTTTAGATAATTCTCATCAATTGCCTGATGCCATGTCTGACCCGTGTGGAGCCAAATGTCTGACAAACAGTCATGAGTCTTGTCCTCCGCTGAGTAAAGTCGGACGAGGCTCAAACCTGACCTTGTCCCAGTCGTCTATGCACTTGCAGATGATCCGCTCAACTGAAACACCCGCCGCGTTCTGCAATCGGAAGATCGGACATGACTACCGCCCCCTCAATATTCATGTTTATCATCCCAACTCACCCGTTAACATGCAGACTAGCCATCCTAACTCAAATCCCGCCTTTATCTTGACCCACTGTCGGCCGTTCTAGATTCGCAAGTCATGAACGCCGACTCGCGGCCGTGGTGAGTCAACCAGAACTCGCACTGTACGGACGGATCCTCGCCCGCCACTCTGTCATCCCCGATCGACCGGCCCATGCTAAACATGACGCTCTGGCCCTGGAGCTGATCGAGCTCCTCCCACGAGTCCCACTTGGGCAACACATCATGTCGACTCGCACCAGCTTCCCCGATTACCTGAGCCGGCAAAAGTGCTCGACAGAGTAGTTAGCATTAAATGACTACTCGTGCCCGCCCCCACTTTAAAGTGGTAGTAAGTACTTGAAAAGCGGTGGATTGTTAAGCGGTCCCTATTACAGTACCAAGCCATCGGTTTACTTTAAACATACCACCGTTTTAAGTGACGCTAATATTTCATCTCCTCAACCTCGCTGAGGCCTGACTAAGTGCAATGCATCTAGGCAGGACTAACTTCGGCCGCATTAGATTGAATGACGCTAGATTTTTTTCTGGGAGTTCTAGCAGGACCAGTTTGGTCAGATTTTATACAGGAACTTTCCCCGTCATTGTACCGGCTTTCGACCTATGAATTCCACGTCGTCCCCCGCAACATATCGCCTAGATCTTCAATGAACTCTGCGGCCGCTTGCTCATTGATTCGGCCGCTTGCTATTCGTATCGTCACATTTCCCTCAATACATTTATGTTTCTCGGTATATTAAAGACTCAAAACCACGTATAACCGGAGTTCAGAGCCCGATCGACTCAACACCCGATTCTCGACAGTCGGGAATAAGCCCATGACTGTCCCTGAACGCCCAAGACAACATCAAAGCGTCATCCTACCATGAAGGGCCTCTGGCTGCCGACATTATGGGCTCTCCTTGTGCTGGTCCTGGGCTTTGGCCAAAGCCTGCCCTCGGCTGAGGTCATTCACAGCATGGGCAAACGTGGCGTGGCAGTAAGCAAACCGGCACCTGATCCCGAACAACCAACGACCGTCTGGCGTGGTGAAAAGTTTCGGACTCCTCAGGAGGTTGAAGCCGCTGGCGGCATGTTCTCTCGAGGCCTTGAAAAACAGCGAAGAGGTGAAACCCTTACGAAGGAAGAAATTGAGAGTGGCAGCAGCTTGTATGAGCATGCCAAGGGCAACAGAATAGCAAACTCGCAATATGTGTCGACGGCTTCAGATCCGGCCCTGGGGTTGCGGTTCGGTCGCGGTGGGGATCAAAACGGCGAGTCAAACGGATACCTCTATCGCATACACGCCGATACAAAAGCCATCGACGTGGATGCGTCCTTGGGCGGTACAGCCCTACAAAGGCCAAACAGAGCATGCATTCATAGGGGCATCCCATTCGACCAAATCGAAGGCTGGTACGAATTGAAGGGGATCAAAGACACAGACGTACTCGAAACGATTAAGCGAGGAGAGTCTCCGGGCGTGTAGAATTCATTAAGAGCCCCAAGTTTAACGAAGAAAAGTATCGCAATCAGAAAGGAAGCGGAGCACAGCCTCAGATCGCCGGGTTTCCTGAGACCTCTGACGCATGGAAGGAAAAGCCGTGGAACCAATACAAGGACCAGAAAGTGTTAGATAATCTGGGCAATTTCTATTGGAACAAGGTATGTGGAGGCACAAGCTGCAACAAAGACTTCCAGCCTCTCGTTTCTCAGCCGCTGCCCCAACCAGATGCAGGCAAAGATGGGTCGTCGGGTCCAAATGAGAATGGGGAACCGCTGTGCAAGCGCAGCAATGGATGCAGAAATGGTGCAGAACCGGCCAACAAGAACCAAGAGGCCAACAAGAACAACGGCGAAAAGACAACGGGACCCCCGGCCGACAACAAACCCCCAGCCAACAACAAACCGCAGCCGCAGCCCGATATAAACCAACAGGGGAATACCGGAAAGCCCGGTCCCGAGCCAGATTCCGAACCGGTCAAGAACCGTCCGCAAAAGCTCTGAAGACTTTTGGTTTTATTCCTGGCTTTACGTTCGGCCTTCTTACGGCAATTGTTACTTGTGAAGCACATGAAAAAATGGTAAGTTTCTAACCGTGACTAATGACAAATTTAACATCGGCGGTATGCTAATCGGCCTTGAGCGGAACCAGCAAGAGCAGGTGCATCCAGTGGCGCCGCCGCAGGACCTTACCCTTTGGGAGAGAATCAAAAAAATCCCTGAAACTCTACTCTCGATCGGGCCGACTTTCATAAAGCTATTTAGCGAGGAAAACTGGGTGGCTTTTAAAGTCTGGTGCCGACTTGCTAAAAGAGCTAGGGGAATTCCAGAGGCGGTGAAAAGCGCTATACACGACCTCACAAATGCGGAAAATCTCGAGGCTTTCGAGAAGTCTGCTCGAGACCTCGGAAAGGGTTAAGCGAAGTTCCGGGGCGGTGGTAAGCGGTGTACATGACGTCGCAAACCCGGAAAATATGACGCTTTGCGAGGTCTCTTGGCGACCTCGCAAAGCGGTAGGTGAAATTCCGGCTTCTTTGGAAGGGGGTTTTGACGACCTCAAAAAAGCCCCAACCGACATCGCAGCAGCATTTCAGAAGCTGCCTGGACAGCTGGCGAAAGCTGCTGCAGATTTCATGACTGAGTACAATAAGTTTGTAAGTTACCCATGACCGACGAGTCTGACTGCCAGTGACACTGCTGATAAACCTGTCAAATCTAGTTACCAGTAAGTTCTCACCATTACTAAACGAGTCTAATTGCCGACGGCATGCTGATACGGCTGGCAACTCTAGCCTGGTTCCAACCAGAGAAAATTGCCGACTCTATTTTCCTAAGTTTGCCGCCAGCCATTCCACTGACTCAGTTCGCGAAGCTTTCAGTAGCTGGGGAAGAGTTGGGTCCAGTGTTATACGGCGAATTCGCCAAAAGTTACGGCAAGTGTGGATCCACGCTCGGAAATATGAACAGTTCATCCATATGATTCGGCGGGCCCACAAGCATGGACCCGTTATAGCGCCCGGCCTCGACGTCGATTTGGCCCGAAAACCGACGGGCTTCCACGCACTAGATAACGTCGTGTCGCATCGAGCGGACCCTGTTTGGAAGGAGGATACTTGGTTCCTGTGTATGCAGATATCGGGGTCCTCCTGACAGCTATTTAAGCTGGGATAGGCCTGCGAGGCGGATCGGTCGTCGGCGTGTCTCCTGGTGACGAAGCTGAAATGGCCCATAGCTGAACAGCCGGGCGGCCCATGCCACGGGGGAGGCGGTGTGATCAATGGTCATGAATGGGGTTGTCTGATAAGGCGAGGGGGCACCAGGGTGAAGCAAGTAAGATGGACGAGAGGCAAGCGAGCAAGCAAGCAGGTCAAGGTATGCGTCAGTCGTCGCTTACTAGGAAACCAGGCTTTCTAATCATACGCCATACGCCATACGGACCTCTATGGTTTATGGCGTATGGTTTATTCCCGTATGGTCAACTAAATCATATATGACCATACGGAAAATGACGTCATAGGCCACTATGTTCGCGTGGGGTGCCGATGATGCTGTTGTGTGTGATGTCCTCGAACAGTTCAATCTCCTCTACTGGCAGCCCTGCCGTTATCCCGCTGCGAATCCAGCTCTTCAAGCACTCCCCCTTTTCAATTGTCGATGCTCCAAGAAGCATGCGATCCCATGAGATTGTACGCCGCGCCCCAGAGAAAGTGCGCTCAGGGTCAGCAGACATGGCAGGTATGGAGAGAATGTCTATTGCCATCTTTGATAATCGAGGAAAGCGCTCCTTCTGCTCAGCACGGAGCCACCAGGCGAGGGGAGAGCCATCGATTGGGATGGGCGGCTGAGAGGTGTAGGAGTCGTATTCGTCGGCGTCCTCTTCTGTGCCCACAACATCAAGCTCCTGTGCCAGCCGGTCATACTCATCGAGCTCCAATTCGGGAACGATAGAGGGGAGTAGTAAGAACGGCGGGTAGGTTCTTGTATTCGTCTTCCCATGCTTTCTTCACCCTGCGAAAATGTTCTTATGCCACGCCTTTGGCCAATTCTTTTGTACGTGGGCTTTGCCTCTGGATGGATGAAGAATAAGGGCTGCACCATATGCCGGGCTCTCATCGGACAGCTGATAGTACTTGTCGAAAACGTACCAGCTCGTTAGCACCGGGCCTAGCAGCTGTTGATTCGTCCTGTATTTGTTGAAGGCAATTGATATACGGGCCCAACCACTTTACTACACGGGCGCTCCTTACACGGGCGGCGGTTTTTAATTGGGCCAAAAATTCTGCCGCCTGGTCCTTGCACGTGGCAGGGTCTGTAGCCCCACCACCTGGCAGAAGGGGTGACATCCCAGCTGCCAGTTCTGTAGTGACAACTAACTCTCCCACAACCAACTTTCCGTCTGAGCAATCATTCGGTTAAGCACCAACCGGCATGACATTGCACGAAGACCCAACTGCTGCCAACAGCGGCGACGGCTGTAGTAGATCCCTTCCGGGCTTGCCTCCATGCAAGCGCCGTAGACTTGCATCACGGGCTCGGGCTCAGCCTCCTTTCAATCCTGAACCGTATTACGGCCTTAACGACGATGATGCGTTATACAATCTCTTCGCGACATGGCCAGAAAGCTACTTCACTAGCCTGCCAAGACCACACGGCTCTCGTGGCGTCGACGAGCCCTGGTGGAAACTACGTCAGTCACAAATATTCTTGGATGATAGCTTCCGAGGAGGTGGGGCTCGGCGGTTGTTCACCACAGGAATTCCTGATGCAGACAAACTCGAGAGACAGCGTCTACGCTGCCTCTTGAGGGTGGAGGAAGTCGATGCCCGCAAGCAGGTTGTGGCCCGCTTCCAGCCTGCCTTGACCTTGGCCTGGGAGCTGGCGGAGACAGATTCCTTATTGGCTCGCGAGTTGGCCAAGTGTCGAGAAGCGTCCGGCCCACGGCAAGCTATTTGGGAACGTGGAGACGATTGCCACGGCCGTATTGCGTCGCCCACTCCACTAGTATCATCGTTGAGCCAAGATGGACAGGAGTACGAAGAGTGGAACGGCTTCTCCGACGCCGAGTGTGGGGATTATAGCGACGTTGAACCTATTCCCAATCCACAAATCCCCGGTACTGCAGCTCCATCGATCGAGGCCCTTCACGCCGAGGTGAACGCATTCGCAAAACGAACGGGTTTGGCGTTGTCAGGCGAAATGGAACTGGGAGTCGAGCCAGAAAGACGCGATACGTATTGGAGTGCGATCGGTACGGTCAGCCACGCCCGTCTGAGGGGACTGGGCTTCGCCAGAGGCGGTCACGCAAGTCCGGCTGCAAGTGGAAGGTGATCGCGGAAGGCTTGGCAGAGAACAGCTATATGTGGACGCTACGAGCATTTCCCGACCCTGAGCACGGCCAACATAACCACGAACGGAGTATTAGCCTCTCCGCGCACCCAGTTCACCGAAGACTTACCAACCCTGTCAAGGCAACAATCGAAACAACAAGCCGGCTAGTTGGCATCCGGGCACGTGATGTAGGGGGACTTGTTCGGGACAGCCACCAGGAACCGTCTATATGAGAAGGGACATATATAACGCCAGGGCGCTTCTGCGCCGCGAGAATCTTGGCGGAATGAGCCCCACAGCCGCGTTAATCAAGCTTTTCGACGAGAGGGGCATCCCCTATATCGCCAAGTGGTCAGAGACCGAACCTGACCGCCTTGTTGGGTTGGTATGGACCTTTCCATACTGTATCCGTATGTGGAAACGCTTCCCGGAGGTGATAAGCTTCGACAACACTTACAACACAAATCGCTTCAAGCTCCCGCTCTTCCAGGCGACGGGTCAAACTTGCCTCAAGTCGGTCTACAACGCTGCCTTCGGCTTGATCGATAACGAAAGGCGTGAAGGCTTCCAATTCCTCGCTGAAGGGATTAGGCAGTTGTTTGAGAGGCATGGAATTCAACTACCCAACGTTGTGATCACGGACTTCGACCAACAGATGAAGGCGGCACTGGAAGATCAGTTTCAGACGCTCAACAACAGCTTTGTATCTTCCATATCAACTCGAACGTACTACTTAACGCCAAGCGCAAGTGGAAGCACGCCAAGGAAGACAGCGACGGTGGCTCTAATAAGGGATTTCCCGGTGATCTGCCGGATCGGGTGATTCGCCGGGTTTTTTCTCCCTTGCATTCCAGTAAAGAACTGAGAATAACTCCACGAATACTATTTGAATTGTTCTAAAATCTCATAAGAGCAATTAATAATGCTCAAAGATTCCACTCAATATTTTTTGAAGTCATCCAGTCATCGAGGTCGTCTTCTGTTACTCTCCGATCGCGCAAGTCCCCGAAATGCACCCACTACCTTCCGATCACTATCAACAGCTAAAGAGGGCCTTTGAGGACAGGATATGTGGTTCAAGTTATCATTGCCTTGTTATTTGCGTTATTATATAGTGGGCTTGGTACCTGCAATGCTATGGTCCGCTCTGGTGTGAACGGAAGAGTGACAATTTCTGCGGCGTGAGCATCCTGACTCCTCACGCAACCCTCAGAAGCCACCCGTCGCTCATTTTGCATTTTCTGGGGCTTTTCCATAGTCAAAGTCTTCAGCTCTTGTTAATAGTGCCAATTTATCTCCATATTTTGCTTCAAGGCCTCCGTCATCCGTCGTTTTCTCCCAATTTCCGCCTCTCATTGCTTCCTCTTCTGTAGAGCGAAAGCTTTTGCTCCGCCGCCTTCTTCTGTTGCTGAAACCTTCAGGTCTCCTTCTTCAGAGCCTCTTCTTTTTTTTGGGGTCCTTAAGCTGTATTTATTTAGCGAGTTTGAGCCACTTTTGCAGAGCTAAACACCTCGTCTGCATTACAATCTGTACAGCAGAAGAGATCATCTTTTGGAGCCTTACCGCCCTGCCTGCGCTGGTGCTTGTGACTACCTGTTCTCTTCTAACTTAAGCTCTCATATAAATCACTTAAAACTCACATTGAGGGCTTTCGAGGGTGCTGCTCAGCCTTCGGCTGTTGCGGCCAGCTGTGAAAGGCCTCTAGTGAGTTGATACAACTAACTAGTCCCTATGCTGTTTACTATAAAGATAGAGAAAAAAAAAAAAAAAAAAGAAAATCTACTACATGAGAGCAAAATAGCTTTTTATAGCTTCGAGCCAATGGAAGGTTCTAGAAGCTAGGCGGCGCAGCCGCCGTTAAAGCGGCTTGCCCGTTACATTACCTCCTCCCTTCCAACGTTTCCTCTTCCGGGGGATCGTGGAAATCTGTGGCAAGATGACTTGAGAAGGTGACACTCCTTTTATGCTTCTTCCATTGCTTCCATGCATCCGTGTGTCGAATAGTGGTAAGGGGTTCCCACGTAGGCTGCGAGTAATCATGCCATTTTACGAGCACCTTCTTATGCGTACCTTCCATTCTTTCATCCAGAATTCTTTCGACAAGGTACATCTTTTCGCCGTCCACCAGCACCGGTGGGGCACTCTCTTGATCGAGTTTCTGCGAAGGCAATGGGTCTCCGGGGACTGGCCGGAGTAGGTCGACGTGAAAGACTGGATGGATGCGCCCAGGCACATCCAACCTGTAGGCATGTGGGCTAACTTCCGCGAGCACTTGATATTTGGCATGTAGCCAATCGAGCTTCTTGCAGGGTCGCGATGTTTTGACATTTCTCAAGTTGAGGTATACCCAATCCCCAGGCTCGTATCTCGGTGCGGCTGTCCTGTGCTTGTTGGCTTGCGCTTGCTGTATTTCCTGGGCCATAGCTATCGCTGCTTGCGCAAACTCCGTGGCGTCCTGTAGTCTCTGAATAAAATCCTCCGCTGTCGCTTCCCCCTGCGTCGTGTCTTCCGTTCTTCGATGCTCAACTAACTGGATTGGCTCGTTGTGGTAGCCGTGCATGAAGAAGAACGGACTCAGTCCGGTGGAGGTTGCTTCCTCTCGTTAATAGTCGCCATCGCGATTGGAAGCAAGTCTAACCAGTTCTCCTGCAGATAATTCGTCCATATCCGAAGAATCCTCTCTACCTCTTGGTTCATTCGTTCTGTTGCACCGTCGGTTTGTGGATGGTACGCCGTCGACAACCGCTGCTCGATCTAGCATCTGACAGAAACTTTTCCACATACCACTGACAAACTGGGGACCCCGATCACTGGTGATAGCCGTTGGGATGCCATGGACAGGGTAGTGTCGTTCGAAGAGTCTTCTTGCAACCGCTTCTGTGGAAATATCGTTCAATCCTTCGAGTTCGACGCCTTTGGTGAGTCGGTCCGTGACCACCATGCAGTTCGTCGCGCCATCTTTCCCCGACGGCGGGAGGTCAGTAATAAAGTCAATGGTAATTTCGCTCCATATGCGTTGCGGAATAGGAGCGGCTTTAGGAGTCCTTTCTTTGTATCCCTCCAGATGGTGTTTCGTCCGCAAACCTCGCAGTTGCGCACAAACCGACGTACATCGCTAGCGGCACCCGGCCAGAAGAAGCGTCTCGACAGAGTCGAGTACGTGAGGTCCCTTCCAGGATGTCCGGTGATATGAGAGTCGTGAGTTTCCTGGATGATCTTTGTACGTAGCGGCTCCGAACCGGGTATCCAGACGCGTTCTCTAAAGCACAGCAGGCCTCTATTGTCTAATGAGCATTCTGAAATGCTGACAACCTTCTCCTTCTGTAACTCTGTTGGCAAACTCTTCGCTCCATCTGCTACCAGCTTCGTGAGTTCTTGATAAAGCTTGTCTTCTTGCCGTGCGGCGTGCCACAGCTGCTGTAACTCCTCATCTTCAAATATCCTGATCTCTTTTCCGAAGTTGATTTCCTGGGCACCCTCGGTGTTGGTAGACAATGTCGATATTGGGACTCTTCTAAGGTGATCGTTTTGGAATAGCCTCATAATGCGTCCCTTTAGTCGTTCATCGGAGTAGTTGGCCGGCATATCCTGGTCTCGTCGAGAGAGTGCGTCAGGCAATCCGCCCTTGCGGCCCGGCCTCCATTCGAGCTCGAATTGGAACCTGGACAGGAACTCCGACCACCGCACTTGTCTCTCTGTCAACCTCCTTTCCGAGTAGAAGTACCTCAGGTTCTTGTGGTCCGTTAGGATCTTGAAGTGCTCTACTGCCCGTAGCTCTGGTTCCCACTGCTCCAAACATCTGAGAATGGCGAGTAGCTCCTTGTCATGGATAGCGTAGTTCGCTTCGGCTGCCGAATGTTTCTTCGAGAAGTATGCGACAGGTCGTACCAGTCCATCCTTATCATCTCTCTGCAAGAGCACGCCTCCCGACGCGAATCCTGAAGCGTCTGCTTCCACGATAGTCTCCTTTCTGGATGGAAGTGTGCAAGGATTGGGGCCGTGATCAACAGGTCCTTGAGCTTCTCGAAGGCTTCTTCGCACAATTCATCCCAACGGAATGGCACGTCCTTCTTCGTTAGCCGCGTTAGCGCTCCGCTATCACCGAGAACTCTGGCATAAACATCCTGTAGAAGTTCGCGAATCCAATAAAACTCCTCACGGACTTAACATTCGTCGGGTTGCCCATTCCTTCACAGCCTCAACCTTCTCAGGGTCGACTCGGATCCCACACTCCGCCTCGATGATAAACCCAAGGTATTTCACAGCCTTGACTTCGAATTCACTCTTGTTGATATCCAGTTGCAGCCCGGCGTCCATCAGTCGTTGGAGGACCTTGCCGACCTTGTCGCGGTGGTCTTGCAGGCTTCCAGAGGAGAAGATCAGGACATCGTCGATATATGCTGACACAAAATCGTCTAGGTAATCCTGGAGCGCGCTGTTAATGTACCGCTGAAAGGCTGCTGGTGCGCCTGTCAGGCCGAATGGAACTACCAGCCATTCGAAGGATCCATAGCGCGTTCTGAAAGTTGTCTTTCCTCGTCGCCGGGGCGACCCTGATCTTATGGAACGCTGCTATAACATCTACCTTGGTGAACCACCTTGCCTTGGCTATCGTTCGCAAGGTCTCGCTCAGTAAGGGCAAGGGATAGCGGTCCCTCTTCGTTATATGGTTCAAACCTCTGTAATCCACGCAGAAGCGGATGCCTCCGCCGGGCTTCTTCACCATAAGGACTGGTGCCGCGGCTGGCGAGCTGCTGACTCTAATAAATCCCTTGTCGAGTAGTTCTGTGAGAGTCTTCCGTAGTACCAATAGCTCCTCGCGGGACATGCTGTAAAGCGGTCCCCAGGGTAGGGGCTTCTCTCGGCCATGCTCGTCTTTCAGCACTTCGATCTTCAGGTCCACACCTGGCCGATGAGGGGGCAGCTGGTCGGCCAGTTGCTGAGAGAAAGCTCGAGACCACTTGTGGTACTGTGGTGGCAGCTTCTCCATTACGTCAGTCTTCGGTTTCGGTCTTAGGGCCTTGTCAATATCCGCCATCGTGACCGAGTGAACTCCAATGCCGCCTTTGCGTTTGTCACGGCGTGCTTCTGCTAAAAGGTTGCGGCCATGACATTAGAGACATCTAGCTGGGGAGGCTGGTAACGTCGTCGGTCTCGTACTTGAACTCCATTGGACCCGATCTCGAGATATCCTTCCTTCGCATGGATGTGAACATCCTGGTCTTCCATCCATCGTTTACCCAGGATCATATCCCAGTTCAGATCGTCGATGACGTACATGAAAACACGATGCTGCTGATGTCCATCGAGGTCGATCGACACATACGTGATCTTGTCGATTTTGACCTCCTTGCCGTCTCCGGCTGCGTTCTCCAAGATACGCGGCTGAACGCGTATATGTGGCAACTGGAGAGTGAAATGTGCGCTTGCTAACCGCGCCGTAGCAGAGGCAGCCATAGTCGACAAGAGATGGCACGAAGTCTGTGCCGTTCACCCTGACGTCTGCTATGAACGGTTCTCCGTCCATTTTTGCTTTTCCGCTCACATCCCATTCTCTCACAGCCGCCGCGTGTCCCTAGTCTGAATCTTCCTCGCTATGAGAAGAAGTATCGTCTTCGGCGACCTCGGCTTTAGTGACCGCTGGTCGTGACGGGGTCACGGCATTGACCTGAGTGCGTCGGGTCGTGTTTGCGGGTCGGATAGGCGCAGCCAATGGACAGCGCTCGATTCTGCAGTTGTCTCTTACACAACGGAGGCAACGCCCTTCACGGTAACGGGCGTCCATCTCGGCCGGGTCGACCCACTTGGCACGCTTGCCCAACAGCGCTTGGTCTTCTGGTCGCTTGGATTGGTAACCATATGTGTTCTTATCACTGCGGGTGCGCGCAGCGTTCACTTTCGCGGATACTTGTAGAGTTGGTTCCCATTCCATCATATCCTCTCGTCTAACTTCGGTTTTCTGGCCAGACTGTTTCTGGGCAGCCTGGCCTCCATGATTCTGGTGGTTGTCATAGTTGTCCGAACTCTTTGTGTTGCCTCGAGGCCTTTTCCACTGACCCAATAATTCCATCTGGCTGCTCAGCGAATCGCACCTCCTCGCCAGCCCAACATAGCTGCTGATGGCAGAGGGGTCAGAGCCTATGAGGGCTGCTTTCATTTTATCGTTTAGTGCCTCCTGGAGTAGGAAATCTTGCTGTCATCTGGCCAATACTTGGCGTTGGCATTGGCGATCTCCTCTCAAAGCGGGGTAAAAGGACGTGAACGGTTCATTCTCTCCTTGCTTAATCGAATGCAGGTTGCGTGTAGCTCTCTACTTACGATCCCTCTCCCTATATAGCAATTCGAGGCGGTTGAGTAGTTCAGCAACATTGAACGTTTTCTTCTCGGTTTGCATCTCCACAAATGTGGTCACGTTGTCTTTAGCCTTGCCTTCTAGGCTCATGAAGATGTACATAAAGTGGCCTTCTGCATCTCCAAGGGCTTCTTTGTCGACTCGTAGCTTTCCTTCGGTTTCTAGTTTCCAGCTTCGCCACTGGGCCTTGTCGCCGCCGAATTTCGGTATGTCTCGTAATTTGGGGCGCTTGGTTGGGTGAGGGTTGTGAGTGGCGACCACACGGGTGTCCTCAATGGGGACAGCCGGGGTGACAGATGGCGTTGGCTCTAGGAGTTCAGACGAACGGGCTTGCTGGTGTTGTTGGAGTTCCAGGGCAATAAAACGTTCTTCAAACTGGGTGTTTCTTCGGGAACTCTCTTCTCTCAGACTTCGTATCTCGGCAACCAGGGCGCTGAGGACGTCCGGCTGCATGTTGTTGTTATCTTCGGCCATCGCGACTTCGCTGAACGCTAATAGTTCGACGGGACTCAGTTTGGTGTCTTCAGTGTCTTCGGTGTCTTCGGTGTCTTCAGTGTCTTCGGTGTCTTCAGTGTCTTCAATGTCTTCAGTGATCTTGATAGTATGTGAAAGGCCTCTAGTGAGTTGATACAACTAACTAGTCCCTATGCTGTTTACTATCAAGATAGAGAAGAAAGAAAGAAAGAAAGAAAATCTACTACATGAGAGCACAATAGCATTTTATAGCTTCGAGCCAATGGAAGGTTCTAGAAGCTAGGCGGCGCAGCCGCCGTTAAAGCGGCTTGCCCGTTACACCAGCATCAACAGAGGTCTTCTCGACTACTTCCTGAAATGCGTTCCAAAACACAGTCTAGAGCTTCATTTTCAACGATTTAATTAACCTTTTTTATTTGTCTGTAAAATGAACAAGATTATACATATACGCTGCTGAGAGAGGCTGAATAACGATGCATCAAGGGTTGCAGCCGATGAGTGGAATGAGGAGGAAACACCGCAGCGATCATCCGGTGCCCGTCACACCACTCCATAAAATCCATAATAAAATGTTTAAGTGGCCACAGGTAACGAAAAGGCGAAAAGAACGACCGTTTCGAGCTTCGCCTTAGTAAACCGGTCCAACGTACTGACGAGCTGCTCCTTTCCAATATTGTGATTCATCCACCTCGTTTTTGACGTGTTAAAAATATTTATTGACGACTTGATTCACGTTTCACCAACCAAAAGTCCAGGGTTTGTGCTGGCTTGTCTTGGTGGATGAGAAATGGGGGCAGCGATGCCATCTCTTGACTGACGCACATCTTGAACGTAGTGGAGGATGGGTTGCCATTTTTTGATACGCCGAGCAATTTTGCCTTGTTTTCTTATATTAAGAGGAATAAAATGTTCGTTCAAATGCTCGCAAGGAATAGAAAGCTCTTTTCATCCATGTTATACATGTTTTAGGGCAGGGTGTCGAGTTTCTCAATTTTCGTGCGCGTCTTTCCTTGTCAGGTGTGAAAGGGGAGCCTCGCGCACTGAAGTTCAAGCTAAAAATAAACCTTACATTCAGACGCATGGGTAGGTTCTTTTCAGAAGATGCTCGTACCGTCGAATCACGTTCAATCTGGCTCATTACGGGTGCGTAGAATGAGGTTATCCAGGTCGCCCTTCCAACCCCCATTTTTGGCAGTATCCTGAGCCAAGTTCCGCACTATGGATATAATAGGGAGAATCCCACATGATTAAAGCCTAAGATGAAAGTCAATAATGTTCTGTTTTTGCTGTGTTGGCCGAAATGACTTACACAATCTGTCGGCATCCTATTTTGGCCGTTGCTTGGTTTGATGTCAGCACCGCAGCGCACTGCCCACTAGATAAAAGTTCTAAATATATCCTAGACTTTCACTGCTTCTGATAATTCAGGAACTCAAGTGATACGTCAATTGGCACCGTGGTTGTTGAGCTATCGTCGATTGATGTTGAGCGTGCGAAGTCGCCACAATCCGGCAAGTCGCCAGATCCGGCAGATCACCGGGAAATCCCTTACTGAGCAATCGCAGGCAACGTTAAATTCGCGCGACAAGGAGGCGGTCCTTGCGGCGGGGAGACAAGACGAGCCGCTGTCTCGGACAGTGTGGCTAACAGACAGACCGTCTGACAGACCATGTTCAGACCGCAGACCGATCGACCGGCAATTGTCATCAGACCGACCGACCAGAGCAGCCGGTCGGTCTGAGTGGTCTGGGTGGTCTGGGTAGGCTCACTTTCCAGGGCTGTGCCTTGAGGAACGAAAGGCCTTCTAACGTGCCCCGCAGACCCCGCCCTCTCCCCCCAAAGGTTCTCCGCCCCTTGATTGGTCCCTTGTGATTGGTCCCTCCTTGCCTCCCTCCTCGTTGGTCGCTGCCCTTCCCCCGGCTTCTGTTGCCTTTTCGCGTGCCTTATCCCACCACTAGGCGCCTCCCACCCTGTCTGCCGCCTGCCGACTCTTCCCGCCTGCCGAACTCTTCATCGCGTCACCTAGCCCGGCCGCCTTGACTCTTCAGCATCACCGTCCAGCCAGCGCAACGCCTCCTCAACGGTCCTCTCGCTCAGTACCTCGAGCCTGGCCTGTGCGGCAGTCATCTCCTCGGGGACCCGGTTGCCCACCAAGTCTCTGTCCCGCACCTTGGACACGAGCATGATGCCGTCTAGAGTTCGGCAGCGCGATAGCTGCACGTACAGGCCGTACGGGTCGCACTGCGAGGCACCACCGTTCCATCCATCTTCGTCGTCCGTGTCCTCGCAGCTCGAGGGCCACGCGCTCCAGCGTTTTGCCCTGCACCTTGTAGTCCGTGCACGCGAACGCTGCTGCGCACGGCAAACCCTTTCGGCTGACGTCGTTGCGTTGCCACGGCCTTTTCGCTGGCACTGTATCTTAACGGTCATGGGTGTCAACAAGATCGTGCCCGGCGGCATCCCGACGAAGTGGAGATATCTCGTCGTCTCCGATTCGAGAATGATCCCGCCGGCGGCCCGAAGTGGATCGTCATATCGGCCGAGATCCGATGCCCCGGGTACGCCTTGTCGACAATGACCTCCACCGCCGAGTAGCTCGCGCCGTTCACTAGCTTCAGCCCCTGGTGGGTGTTGTGGTTCACGACGATGGGCATCCCGGCCACGAACATGAAGACGGCCGGCACCGGGATCGCGCTATCGTCGCCCTGGTTGAGTATCATGATCGCCTCTTCCTCCGTCGGCAGCTCCTCCTTCCACTTGTGCTCGGAGATGAAAATGCGCATCGTCGACCGCTGCTGGACCCGGAACGCCAGGCTCGCCTCCATGTTCAGGTTCCACCGATTCCTATTGAGCGGCGTCACCACGGTGATGCCCGTCTCCCAAGGATCCGCCTTCCTCCCGGTAGCACCTTGAGTTGAGGAGGTTTAGATCCGTCCGATCCTGCACGCCTAGACGGATCCGCTTCAGCAGCCTCTGCAGCTCCGGGTCGCCGGCGGCGCGCATCTGCTCGTCCAGCATGACGACCGTCGTGAACCTCTTCCACAGTGCGTGCGCTTTGTCGTGCTGGTGACGCTGCTCGGCCTTGAACGAGTTGTCTACGTCCCACGAGATGGCCGCGCTAGGCAGGACGATCGACCTCTCTTGGACCGGCCGGAACTGCTGAAAATCTCCGCAGAAGAGGACGATGGGGATCCCCCCGAAATCTTGCCGCGATCCGCGAAGCCGGCGAAGCCGCTCGTTCACGGCGTGCAGCGTCCGCGCCCCGAGCATGCTCACCTCGTCGATGACGAGCACATCCTTCTCCTGCCAATCCATTCGAGACTGGCCGTGGATGAACCGCTCCGCCTGTTTCGGCAGCCGCACCGTCAAGGTCTTTGACCATGTTCGCGCCCCGCCCCTTGGTCTTTAGTGAACCCGCAGGCGGAGTGGATCGTGATGCCGTTGATCCGCGCCGCCGCAGTCCCCGACGTCGCCGTGATCAGCAGACGATTCGAAAGGCTCTTTTTACTGAACAGCTCGACGAGTGCCTCGATGATTCGCGACTTGCCGGTACCGCCCTCGCCACCGACGAACTGGCGCAGCTGGCAGGCATCGCCCCCGTCGGTCTGCTGCATCAAATCGAGCTGGCGGCATATTATCAGAAAAGCGATGGACTGCCTCTTGTTCAGCGTCAGCCGTGTTGCCAACACCTTGCCCGCCGCGAGGAAGGAGGTTGATGGGCCAAACTGAACGTCCATTCCCGCCCCTGCGTCGATAGCGGTCTCGTCGGAGTCGGCCATCGTCATTTCGACCTCGTCCTCCCGAAACCGGTCATCACCCTTCGCAACGCTGCGCGGCGATCGCTTTCCCAGGCGGCGGGCGTGCTTTGTATCCCTGGATCATCCTCTCCTCTCCTTCGAGGCACTTACCTGCTGCGACTTGATAGCCTTGACCTGATCCTGCGGCGGTAGTGCGGCCCGGAAAATACCCGCCCTGGCATGCTTAACCGCCTCTCCCTCGTTCGATCAGCGCCGTGGCCTCGAGCTCGGCCGTCGAGCGCAGCGCCGATTGCTGAAACCGACAGAGCTGCTGTATCATTGCCATGAGCTCCGGCGACTTGGCCGTCACCTGATTCGCTCCCACTGCACCTCGGACGACGTCGATGAGCCGCGTTGCGTCTCCGATGCTGTTGGGCTGATATGTCGCTGCAGACTCCGCGCCCGCCTCGCCTGCTCCACCCTCCTCGACGTGTGCGACCGTCGGGTCGCCATCGCCGGACGAGGCTGCCCATTGCTTGGCGTCGCGTTTTGCGTCTTCGGCGGATCGTCGAAGCAGCTGCACGTTGTCGACGAGACATGATATTCTCGGGGCCATAGCGTCTCGAGCCCGCGCCCAGATGCTGTTGATCTCACCTGTTCCTTCGCCCAGGAAGGACTCCACGGCACGAACAGCGCAAGATGCTGCACGGCTGCCCTTCAGGGGTGGGTTAGCCTCTCCGATAATGCCCGCTGACAGAGCAGTTGCCATACACACCTCCGGTAGCACGACTCGTCATCGTAGGTGAAGTCCTTGCTCAGGTAGCCGTCGAGGCAGACGGTAGCGTGCTTGCCCGGCCGCCTGAGCACCTGAACCCAGCGTCGTCCCGGCGCCCATCCATCCTCGAAAGACATCTCCCCGCCGCCCAGCTCTCGTCGTTGCCGATGCGTTTCAGTCTGACGATCGATATGTAGTCATACAGGCATAGGCCTTTCAGCAGCTCTCCCGGTGCTGGTACGCCTCGACGTGGGAGATTCTCAGGCCTTCTTCTTCGACGACGACCGACTCATCCAAGGTGTCATCCATAGCCGCAGCGCCACTGGCTTCTCGGAGATGCCGCCATCGCCGAAAGACTTCCCAGTACAGCAGAGAACAGTTCAGGTACGCCCACGCGCTGCTGTCGGTGAACTCGGCCGGATATCCGAGAAGGTGAGCGACGACCTCGACCTGTGATAGCGGACGCTCCGTGAACACGCGGTTCGCCACTCTCATCAGGAACTGTCGCGTCCTGTTCCCTTGACAGGGTCATCGGTGGCAGCGTCTCCGCCACCGTCCCGCCCTCCGTTGGCCGTGCCATCACCTGTTGAGGCGGCCAGGAGCTCGGCCGCGGCCGCCACACGCTTCCACACCGGGTCCTCCACCTTGGTCGCGTAGTTCGTGACATAATAGATGAGGGCCATTGTCTTGCGCTGCGTCGCAATGAAGGAAATATCATGGTTGTGCCGGAGCCCGACAGCAATAGCCTCGTTCCATCGATTGACCATGCTGTGTGTCCTCCGGATCTGCAGCACCCCGTCTGCCGTGAGGGCGGTCTTGTCGACTAACCTCCATGGCGCCTTGAACCGGCAGAGGTCCCTTTCCGCCCTCCTTTGCCCAAGGAATACTTCACACAGGTCGGGCTATGCGTGTGCACCTGCGTCGCGCCGGCACAGAAGTTGGCCTCCTCGATAAACGCGGCCGAGAACTGCGCGGCGTTGTCCAGCAGGGAACCAATACCGCCCGTCACAGATCGCTCCGCTTGCACGGCGCAAAAACTTTCCTGGTCCAGATCCTGCCTTGCACGTCAACCCGGCCCCACTTGGCCATCAGAAGAGTACTTCAGGCTCCCGGTGGCACATCTTAGGTAGGCATTCTTACCTCTGAGAAGACGCTATCGATGTATCGGACAATTCGCTCGCGATACGCCGCCTGATCCTCCCCGTGGATGTCGGCAAGCATCGAGCTGAGATGCGCGTTCCCGTGCAGCCAGAGCAAGCCGTGAACATGAAGCGCCCTCGTTCGTTCGTCTCCACGGCGCCATAGTACTTGCCGATGCGCCCGAATACCGACTCTTCACCGACCTTCACGTAATGATCGAAGAATAGCTTCATCTCGCGGTGGAAGAACACGGCCGAGCTCATGGGATCCGATATCGCCAGCCGTGCCCGCTTATACGCATCCCCAAGGCCTTCTAAGAACTCCTCGGCCGCGTCGGGATCGCGTGTGCGGTATGCCGCCAGTCGCAGCTTCACCGGGTTCGTAATGTCGTTCGGGTTGATGGTGAACCAGATGGCCGGCACGCCATATCCGACGATGAGCGACTGGATTTTCCGCCGCATATTGAGACGGACCTCTCGACATGGGCTGCCGGTGGCCGTAAAGCGAGAGGCTCCTGAGAAGCTCCTTCACGTCACCATCGGTCGTCTTACCCGAGCTCTCCAACTCGACCCTCGCCGCCGCTAGCCTTTCTGTGGTCATCGAACGCACGATGCGCTCTACCTTGCGGAAGTTCTTCCTCCCCACACTCAACATGCTGACCCGGCGGTTCCTCGACCGCACCCCCATGTTGAAGACGAGAAATGCGAAGATGTGGTGCAGTGCAAATCGACCACCATGGCGCCGGAGCACGATCTCGGCCCACGCCTGAAGGTTCAAGCTTCGAGACGATACGGGGTCTCCCGCGGCCGCCTCTGCCTCGACAGCCCTGCCTCGCAAGTTGGCCGTGACCTTCCCGCGTCGACCATGGTCTCTTCAACCAGCCTTGGTCCCCAACGCCAAATGGGAACAGGGTCGGGAACGTCCTGGCAAAGAAGGACGCCTCAAAGGAATCGGTAAACTCACCCCCGCGAAACCCGGATGTATGGCTCACAACCACCGTCGCCACGCCCCGAACCCCGGCTAGGGACCCGACCCACGCTCGGGCCCGCACGGCCGTCGTCGGCACCTTCACCAACAGCGTCACAGGCAAACTGCAGCTTCTCCACGTCCGCGACGTCTGGCGGTCCGTCGAGCGCGAACATGCCAGAAGACGTCACCTCGTTGATCGCTGGAACGTTCTGGTCGGGGCAGGCGTCACTTCCATCGCGAACCGCGCCTTCTCCGTTGGGCCCGTGACCTTCACCCTGGCCGCCGGCTTCTTGTCCTTGGTTGAGCAGGGCGAAGAGCTCCTCGATCTCCACCGGCCCTCCTCGTCCATGGCGCGTTCCGTGGGCGGCACAACGTGCGCCGTCCGCGCTTTCTCCCACCCAGACGGCTCGTTCCGCTCCATACGATCGCACACCGACGACGGTACCCCGTGTATCGAGTCTCCCAGCTCTCCATCTCCGCCGCGTCGATCTCGATCTCGGCGTAGTGGGGGTTGTTCCGCTTCAGCCAGACAAGGGCCCTCTCGACCACCCGCCGCCTCACCGACAAGAGACTCGACAGGTCGCTCGGTGCCGGCTTCTCCGCGCCCTGCCACGAGATGTGGATCTCGTCCAGTGCTTGCAAAGGGGTGCGGGAGCACTTTGGTGGCCAGCTCCTGCACATTGTTCGGAAACACCGTGATGTGGCCCTGACATGCCTCGGATACTTCACGCTCTGCCTCTGCCCGCCCGGAATGCTATATCTCGTGACAAACCCGTAACATGAGTTCAGCGAGATGAGCTTCTCTTCGACCGGCGTCAGTCCCGAGCTCATCGGGGAACATGTGCTCGCAGCCAAGGCGACTGTGAAGGTGGATCGCCGGCGACAGGCTCCTGCGCGCCAGGCATCGGCCACACTCGGCGCACACCGACACGGACTCGCCCTCGGAAAGCAACTCCGGCATGAAAATGGTGAGCGGCCGCCCTTTGGTACGCAACTTGACAGCCAATGATCCCATGTAATCTCCCTCAACTCTCCTCTCGTACACTTGCGGTAGCACACCATGCAGGTCCGTATCGGCAACGTGCTCGCATCGTGGAACGCCTGATAGAAGTCTCGCACCGTCGACACCTTCCTCTCGAGCGGTATTGGCGTGCACCACGTCTGATCGTTAGACAATCTCTCCTTCAAGGCAAAGTCTTCCTCCAAAAAGCGCAGCACACTCGCCAGGTCTTCGGCCTGCAGCTCCCGTCTCCTATGCCTTCCGATTCCACTTCGGACCTGTTTTATCGGGCGCCCATCCCGGCTAGGAAGACGGGCTCTCTTCTCCGCCTCCGGGACTGCCTCTGTCCGCGCAGCGAGCCGTCCGCTGCCTCTGCTGCGCCATCGTCCACACCCACCTGTGCCCTTGGCCGCCGAACCGGTCCCCGACGGAGCTTGGGCAAACCCCATGCAATCGATGCTGCAAATTGCGCCGTTCGTCTTAGGTCTTGGAAAGTCGTATCCTTGGGCTGGATAGGTCGGAGCGTCGGTCCCTTTCGAACGAACACCCGGGACACCGCCGGTCGCCGCCTTATCTCCCTGCCCGTCACCTTCAGGACCCCTCTCCTGGGGCAAAAACGGCCGATGAAGGGGTGGACTGTTAGAGCCCACTGCCCCCTGGTCTCCACGTTCTGTAGGCAACACGAACCTCGGAAGCGGACTCGGTGACTGACGTTGCGCGGAATTTCCGCTGCTGACCAAATTACGGGACTTCCGTGCTCTGCTTGACCGCAAACCGCCTCGCGGCGGTCTTCTCGGCAGTGACTTTGCGATCGCCTCTGCATGCTTTCTCCATGCGGTTTCTTCGACCGCAGACTGCTTAGGCTGAATCAGCCGGAACGTTAATGCTTCATTCGCCACTGATCTGTATCTCCCGAACCGCCCCAACCTTGTCTCCCGTGCTCCGTGCCCTTCTCGGAGTTGCCCTGTATCATCTCCGCACCCCGAAACAGGCACTCCCCCGTTCCTACCCTCTTCTCCATCCTCGACTGACAACGAACAGGCTCCACGGTGAGCGGCCGCCTCGCCTAGCTTCCCTGCAGGACTGTCCGCCATGCTACTGCCTCCTCGACGTCGACTAGCGTGGATTGGCAACAGGCTAGAAAGTTTTGGCTCCGGAGCACTTCCACTTGGATAATCTCGCTTCTTGGCGTACACTATTTCTTTCCGAGTGGGAAGCTTCCTAACGATCACTACTCTCATGGCCGTGGCGTTTCTTCCTTATAATGCTTGCCTATGGTACCGAAGCGATGCAATACTACTACCCCTTTGTAATCCCCATTTACCCTCCCTATGTGCGTCCACCGTCCCGGCCTCGGCTGGTCTCCACGTGCGACCTGCTACCCCAGCTTTGCCAAAGGCGGCCCTTCCATCGCCGTGCTCTCTTTGCGCACTCCAGCGAATCCTGGCTACTGCCGACCTCCGGCACATGGGGTGGCCGCGCCAACCGCCCGCCGCACACTTCCAACCATACTCTCGGCCCTTCCAACGCCGTCCCACCCACCTTGCGCATCAGTTGCTCCATCAATATCTGCCACTCCACCTCGTCGAGCAACAGCCAAAAGGCTGCCGGCGATAACATGTCCACGGTGTCCTCGTGCAACCGGACTACCCGGCTAGGTTTGCTCCCTCGCCACCACCAACGTCGCATCAACGGCCTTCATGCTAAAGCGACAGCCAGGATCCCCCTGCCTGTCCTCTTGTAGTCACTAGCCACCGGAGTTTCGACTTGCAACCCCTCTTGGAGATTTCTCGTGACCAACTCGCATCCTCCTCCTCAGGTCGTCCCCTATATCCGACTTCACCGTGTCCCAATAGTGGACTCGACACGGTCGGCACCCGCCTCGCTCAGCCGCACGCAATGCCCATCCAACTACCGACGACCGTCAAAAAGGGACCCCTGCAATACTACCATAACCTCTTTCTTTCCTTCACTCTCATTCGTTATTGTCGCCTTTGCTATCTACTCCATGCAACGATGACACCGAAGGGTACTGCTGGACTTTCTTTCTCCGCAGACTTACCCACACTAACCTTACTGTTCGCCGACCTCCAACTTCTCGCGACATAGTCATCACCCCTACTCAACTTCCAACCCCCGGCTCCCTACTTCACTCACGACCATAGAACCAGATGGTCGAGACTGTTCAAGAACCTCGCCAGCTCATTCCCGCATACCCCCGCTTCTGATCTATCACCTAGGTAGCATTCTCTGACTCTTAAGTCTCCCCGACCCTAGCCGCGAGCCCTCTTTCGAGCAGCAAGAAAACCTGCTTTATAGGATGCCCACCTCCACTCTGCGTAACCCTCATTTACACTTCCACGGTGACTACATCTGCCATGTTCTCACGATGTCGGCCTCCCAGCTCAACGTCGATACCTCGTCCTCCCGCGGCAACCTCTTGACAGCCAGAAAATGCTGGCGCCGACATGTCCATGATGGCCTTTGTCCAGCCCGGCTGCCCGGCTAGGTTCGCCTACCAGAATGAGCATCGTGTCAAAGGGCTCAACGCAGAAACCCTAGCGAGGGTCTTCCTTCCCACGCCCTCATGGCTGTCGACTCCGGAGTATGCAGCAATCCGGTCAGATACTGGCAATCCATCAACCTGCATCTTCTTCAGCCTTAATATTTCCATATACAACCAACAGATAATCTCCTCGGAATGGACCGAGCAATGGTTCTTCATGGTCGGCCGTGTTCATCCCTTTGCCCTGACGTGGAAATCGAGCGACGTGATGGCTTGAGTCGGACGATGATAACATCACAGAATACACCGTCCCCGCGCTTATAGTCCGCGATCACAGCTACCAACCGTGAGTCTATGCTCCAAATCTCTCTGTCGCCACTGCCCTCCCTGACGATATCCATAGAATTGTCACTCGCACCCTCAGCTCGGTGGATACTTTCCCAACGATACAACCCATTGTCTCCTTCACGGGACCTGTCATCGGCTCCGGCCGCGACCTCCTGCATGGAAACTCGGCTGCGGCCCTTGACGACACCCAGCTGAGCTGCTGCGGCTTTGTCCAGCTCTCCACCTTTATTTGTCCTGGGATTCCCGGCAAAACCCCCTTCAAGGGCTTTCACCCTTCCAAGTTTTCGTCATCTTCCCCATTCACGCTAATCCTTGGACCTCCTATGCAAGAAGATGACCGAGAGGCGCGACAGCCAGTTCCAGTCGAACACTCTCTTCACCTGTACGGGCAAAATCGCCGGCTTACTGGATCACCAGATCATGAAACATGCCCCGGCTTTCGACCAAGACTATATCTTCATCGTCGTCCCCGACACGTGGACTTTCCACGACAAGGCCATGTCCGACCAGGCTTCTGCAACACAACTACTGCCGACGACACCCAAGAGCGCGGTCGGCAATCCTCGGACTATAGCGTTGCGTTGGCCAGGTTTACCTCTACGAAGAAACCCAAGGCCGCCCAAAGCCCCGCCTCCCCACGCCGCATGCTTCTGGCCCAGTCGATCCTTATGCTGGCATCAAGTCGGTCATTGCCCGATCCCTACCAAACCCCAACCAAGAGACCGCGACTTTCTCCCGAAACTTCCACCATAATCACCGACTGTGACGGTCAAGACTCCCCCAAATCCGATACCTCCTCCTTTCTGTCCCCGGAAGACCCCGCAGAGTCAGAGACGGACACCGAACAGGTCAATCACCAAGACACATCCGCCTCTGGCTCTATCAGACCTCCCGCGTCGATATCTTCCCGACCACTGCGCGCCCGACGTCCGCCCAAGAATATTCTCTAAACTTTAAAGCATCAAACGAAACAATACAACATGACAACATGTCTCATCATCCTCAAAATCAACTGCCAAAGGCTCGAATAGCACATTCTCTTCTCTTCTTGTTCTCCCTTTCATGAAGACGATCAAGTCAAAACTTCCCCAATATACTCCTTATTCTGTTTATACCTACGACTTATACCGGTAGCACATGTAAATTTTCCGAGCCTTCCACTCGCCCAGACGTGCATTACCCACTCACATCTCTCTTCAACCCTGCCGTCTCTCCACGCCCTTTGAGTTTGCGCCTTTTAAACAAAATCTCCTCCAGCGGCCTAGCCTGCCTCCCCGACGCTCTGTCTCGGTTTCACTCACGATAATGCTCTACGTCTCTCGCCGTGTCTCGTATCTCGACCTCACTCTTCTTCCTGTCTCCAATCTACTGTCGCCAACTCTCTCTCTCTCTTCTGTAGCCAACTCTTCTCCGGTTCTCTTGTCGCCAAATTTCGTTCCGAAAGGCTTCTTTGCGCGAGCCGCGGCTGGCGAGCCTTCCTCTCGTCATTGGTCAGATCAATCTCAGACGGGCCCACTCTGGTCTTCAAATCCCGGGCTGCTTACATAATTTGAGACCGGAGAGCTTCGGCTTGAGCACTGCTAGCCGCTGATTGGTGGACCGCCTCGCGGCAGTACTTCGGGATGAGATAATCAGACCATCAGACCGACCGGGCTCCTACCCCAGACAGACCTAGACCGACAGACCGATAGTCATGATTAACCCAGACCGACAGACCGAAAGGACCGGTCTAGGTCTGTCGGTCTGTTAGCCACACTGGTTCAGGACGACCGCTGGCCAGCACCCCGTCTGCGCTGTCGCGGGAAGCATCCCGAACGACGCCTCCCAACCCGACCTTGCCTTTCCTTTGAGAGCTGGACGTCGCGATAGTGATGCCCTCCGAATCATCCGGCTTCACCACCTCCACTCGATCTCTCGCGAAGGAGAGAGCAAAAGTGGGCATAAACGTGGATAAAGGGACTTTTTGAAGGTCGAGTATCGTACGATCAGATATTGTGTTAATCTCTCTCTCCCCGGTTGCCTCCTTTCCCATCCAAACAGCCCCTTTTATATCCCTCCGAGCTTCTCCCAAGTTGATATCCCGTTTTCAGGTATAGTATACATTCTATCAGGAAGAGGGCACTTCTTGCCACTTATTGAAGGCCACGTAAGTCATCTACGTCAGCAGCATCAGCTCCATCTCCCCGATCGAATAGCTCTTCTAGCTATGAGATCGATAGTTCAGTCTCTCGAGGTCCCCGAGCCAGTAATAGCTATGCCGGACTCCTCAAAGGGTCCCCGTTCGAATAGGAGATCCTCCGGACCCCTCAGTGGTCCAGGAAGAAGAAAGAACAGTCTGCAGACCTCCCTTCTTACCTGGTTTCAAACTGTATTACCTAGAGAGACCTAGAGACGTCAACTCGTTCGGACCTTCTTCTCGACACGATCTGTCTCATCCGTTACCTGCACTCGGTCCTCCCACGGCGCCAGTGCGAACTCGTGGATGACTTCCAGGCGCTTGGTGTTTATTCTTCCCATCGCCGAGGCGAGCTTCTGCATTGGCGAAGCATACCTCCTGTTCAGCTTGAGCCTCAACGATGTCAGAGGATGCGTCTTCGGGAGCGTCCGCATCCTTATCCAGAATTTCGTCGCTGCTTGAGTGTGCCTCAGCACCCACTTTTTTATTTTATTATTATTATTTTGTATTGCGCCCGGAGGGTTCCCCCATAGAGCCACTACGCTAAGCTACGTACCTACTATACATGGTTTCTCCTCACCTAAAGCCCAACGCTTCTTTCCATCTGTTTCCAGCCTCGTTCGCTGTGACATGACAGGCCTGCTTGAAGGTCAGTTTCTCCAAGTGTTCAGCGTCCTACCTTCAGCGACTGAAGCGCGGTCTGCCAAGTTGAAGGCTGTTGTGTTAGTATGTTCTTGATCAGTACATGGCCCGTTAACGGTCCATACTGAAGCGTTTTGTCGCCAATGCGAACTGTATCGTCGCACGCACAGCCCCAATATCAGGTTGCCACTTGTCGTCGTCTGACTCTGCCTTGCCTCCTAGGAAGAAAGACAAGTCTCCCACCTTTCCGCGCGCATATCGCAGCATGGTCTCTCGTTGTACCGTCCATCTTCTGCATCGAAAGAGGAAATGCTCCACTGTTTCTGCAGACTGCCCACAAGTGCACTCATCCGATTCCACCGCCCCGATTTTGCAGAGGTAGCTATTCAGCCGCGATTTGCCAGTTCGAAGTTGTATCAACACTTCGGATTCCTTTCTTGTTAGTGTTGAAGGCTGTGTAGCGGATGAAGTGTTCATTGAAGGTTAAAGAAATCTGTGAGTAAATACAGAGAAATGCCACCTTAATATATCACTTCCAAGCTAGTGTCAGAGGCTCCTCAGAGAGCCTTTCAGGGGTTCAGGGTTTCTGATGACCCACTTCAACAGTTAGCTCGTCGTACAACTTGCGGGTGTGCTTGCCCGGCAATGCCTTATCGATGCGCTTTGAGTGCTTTCCAACCCCTTCCGGGATCTGACGAACGCGAGCGTTTTCGTTGAGCAGCAGTCGTAACGTCGTTGATCTTGCTTGAAACGTTGCTGGTTCGGCGATGCACTCGTCTCGCGTCGCTCTTTTCGCTTGCATTTTGGCCAGTGGCCCAAGGTGAACTCCTCATTCTTTGCAGGCACCCAACGAAGTCTGACTCTGCAGCCTCTTTTTGCCAGATACTCAACAGATCCGTATATCGCCCGTATCGTGCACTGACCAGACTGTTGCCGTGGCCGCCCGATGACTTGCAGGACAGAGCGGTTGCTCGTCACAACCGTGAGATCTCGGTCATGAAGACCGAGAGGTACACACCTCAGAGCCGTCGCGATTGCCTCGAGTCCTGCTGTGTAGGCATTCTGCTCATCACTGGAGCCGAGAGTGACGGAGTAGCTGGCCAGCACTTCGTCTACGCTGTCGCGGAAGCATCCCGAACGACGCCTCCCAACCCGACCTTGCCTTTCCTTTGCGAGCTGGACGTCGCAATAGTGATGTCCTCCGGGTCATCCGACTTCAGCACCTCCACTCGGTCTGTCTCATCCGTTGCCTGCACTCGTTCGTCCCACGGCGCCAGTGCGAACTCGTGGATGACTTCCAGGCGCTTGGTATCTATTCTTCCCATCGCCGAGGCGAGCTTCTGCATTGGCGACGCATACCTCCTGTTCAGTTTGAGCCTCAACGATGTCAGAGGATGCGTCTTCGGGAGCGTCCGCATCCTTATCCAGAATTTCGCTGCCGCTTGAGCATGCCGTTCTCGGAACGATTGCACGCCGGCCTCGGCCTCGGCCACTGCCGTTGCCACCGTGCGGGAGCCTCCCGTGACAGCCTGGGCTCCGATTCGCTGGGCCCTGCCAATCTACACCGCTTCTTTCACCCCGCACGCGTGCGACCACACGTTTGAGGCATAGTCCATGGCTGGCGCCACGGTCGCGACGAACAGTTGCCTCGCCATCCGTGGCGAAGCCATCTTCAGTCGTTTCAAACACATGGCCGCGGCCAGCCCTTGGCGGCCGCTCTGGCGATGTGTTCCTGAAGCGAAGCGCTTTGTCCATGATGACTCCCAACAGCTTCACGTTGCTCTTCGGCTTGACATCGTTTCCTTTGATGATGAGAGGCAGGTCGCTGTCACGCTCCGCGATGCGTGTGAAGTGGATGAAGGATGTCTTCTCTGCTTCAAATGTGGCGCCGCTGCGCTTCTCCCAATCAAGCGCATCATCGATAATCGACTGGATACCATCTCTGTTTGACTCTGCCGTTGGCCCCGTGACCCAGGCAGAGTAATCGTCCACGAAGGCGATGGAGCCACCGTTATTACTGATCCGTCTTTGCACCAGGTCTGCGTTGAAGAAAAGAAAAGCCACTGGCGACAGAGGAGATCCCTGGGGTAGGCCGGCCTGCGGCAGGGTTTGTTGCTCGGATGTGTGCCCGTTGACAACCACCGACGCGGTCCGTCCCGAGCAGAATGCGTCTATCCAATTGACCAGTCGACTCGGGATGCCTCGGGCTTTCATCCTTTCGAGCATTCGCTCTTTGCACACTCCGTTGTATGCGCCTTTGACGTCAAAGCTGATGAGGCTGAGCACTCTGCCCGTTCTCCAGGCCTTGTAGATTCGCTCCTGCAGAAGCACGAGTGCTTGATCTGCGGACCTGCGCTTCCGTGCACCAAAGTGGTTCGCGGGCAAAAGCCCTGAGCCTCGACTGCATAGCTGATACGTTCCGCGACGACTGCCTCCAGAATCTTGCCAAGCGTCGACAGGAGAGAAATCGGTCGCCACGCCTTGGCCAGGGTGTAGTCTCCTTTATCTGGTTTCCTCAGAGGGATGATCTTGGCCGTTCGCCATTGATGAGGCACGACGCCCTCTCGGAGCGATGAGCTGAAGAGCGTCCACACCCGGTGCTTGACCACGTGCCAGAGCTTCTTCCACACGATCGCAGGAAGGCCATCCTCACCAGGCGCTTTCCAGGGCTTCGCCGCCATCACCTTCTCCTCAATCTCTTGCAAGGTGAGGTCTGGCATGGCTATTTCTTCTCTCTGCGGACGTTCACCCTCCGGCTCGATCCTCGTTGGCAGAGGCGGAAAGAAGGTGCTCAGGAGTTCCTCGGCTTGCTCGCCCTTGCTTTCGGTGATCGAACCGTCGGCTCTCTTCAGCGGGGGCACCTTGTCATCCGTCATCTCCGTACCAGGCTTCAGATACTTGGCAGCCCTCCAGATGTTGCTCCCTTCGATGACGAAGTCATCCCAATGGGCCTTCTTTTGTCTCCGCAAATTGTCGTGGTACTCCTTCGCAGCCTCCTTGGCGCGCTGCTCCAGATCCGGACGCGATTGACCGGCTCTTCGCTGCGCCCTTGCTTGATTGCGCCAATACGTGTACGTCCGACGGAGTCGCGTCAGGTCCTTTGTCCACCATCGCTTCGCGTATGGCGGCGGCTGGGCTCGAGGAGTCAGATCTCGAAGCGCCTTGGTGACCACCCGCATGAGCTGATCCGCCTGCGTCTGCACCCCCACAGTCCACGGAAGAGGCCGAAGCTCGTCCTCGACCCTGGTTGCGATGGCGATCCACGGCGCGTTCTTGAGCATCAGGCGCTGCGGAAAGGTACGCTCCGGCACTCGAATGTCGAAGGTCGTCTGGATCGCTCTATGGTCTGATCCGTGCTCTGTTGGATGAATCACGCAGGATGTCAACTCGTCCGCCAGTTCCGCCGATGCCAGCACCAAGTCGATGGTGCTCTCCTCGTCCGACCTTTGCCACGTTTTCGTTCCTCTCGGAGAAGGCTGCTAAGACCAAAGTCGTCCATCAGGTCAATGATGGGCTGGCCTCCCTTGTCTGCTCGCTGACACTTCATCTCCGCCCCAGAGGAGGTCGTGGCGGTTGAAGTCCCCCGCCAAAACCACATCGGTACGTCTCCCTGTCCCATTGCGGAAGCGATCGATCACGTCGCGCAATAGTTCCATCGCGTTCGTCAGCGCCTCGTCGTTCTTTCCTTGCACATACACTGACACCACCATCACCTCCCTTCCCTCAAGTCGGAGTACCGCTGCTGTGAGATCGGCCGACGGCACAGGCACTTGCTCCGCCTCAAGGTCACTTCGGATCCAGAGCATGCTGCGAATCGGCCATAGGCCATCACGAACACACGTCGGTATCATCTTTGTCCAGTTATGGTGTCCCGTAGGACTCGTCACCACCTTTCCGTCGATATTGCGCGCATGTGGCTCAGATATAGCCAGTGCGGCAAAATCCTTTAGGTCTTCGTCGTTCATCAGACTCTGCTGCACCACATCACTCTTGTGTGCATTCAGCTGTAGGATGCGGAGGGACTCAAGCATCACTGCTCGGATTCCTCATCCTGCACTTCCAGCTGAATGACTCGTGCGGTCCGCCACACGGGACACATTTTGGTTCAATCGCGGTGCATTCCCGGTGGTGATGCCCAACGTTTGCGCACTTGCCGCATGTCCGCTGTTTCTTGCATGAATATGCTTTGTGACCGATCTCCTGGCAGTTGAAGCATTGGATTGGTCCCGTTCTTGGCTCGAATACATAGGTGGTGGCTGACTCTCCCGCTAGGTCAAATTAGTACCCTTCCAGAAGCCTTTCTGCGTCGCGTTTCTTGGTGACATACACCACCATGGATCCGTACGCTTTGCCAGACTCTCGTTTGCTCAACCAGGAAATCTTGCCAATGGTCACTCTGTTTTCGGCACTCAAGGCCTCGATCGCTCCAGGCAGAACGTTGCCTTCCGCGTCAAGGATTGCTGTGCGGTTGGCGTTGTCGACTCGGACCGGATACAGCTGGTCTCGCATAACTCGCGAACCTTCCACGGCTGTCTTCTGCGCAGCCTCTTTGACCATCTGAAGCTCGGCTTCGTCTCTGCAGACGATCTTGACTCGGTCGGCATTCCGGGACTCTCACGACTGCTGCGCACCTCCAGGTCTCTTGTCCGTTCATCGCTCTCATCTCAGTCTCGATGGCCTGGCGAATTGATCCGATTTGCGCGTTGTTCTTCTTCGACTCGCTGACGCGAGATGTGTCGATGGTACAGTGGAGAGGATCGCTGGCTGTCTGCTGCTTTCTTGGGACAGCTACGCTGGATAGACTGGTCGGCGGGCTCGCTGGCAGTGTACGCGCAATGTCGGCAAACGTTGCTCGAGTGCCGCTCGACAGAGTCACCTCCCGAAGCATTCAGGTTCTGCGTGAGCTGGGCCAATTGCTCTTTCACAGCGGCAACCTCTCTCTGAAGATCCCGATGTCCCCGTTTTAATTCCGCGTCGTGCTCATCGCTCTTGCGTTGAAACTCTTCCTTGGATTCCTGGACTTGGACCTCCAAGCCTCGGATGAGATCTTCCTGTCCTTGAATGATGGTGCTTTGCTTGTAGACAGTGGCGTTCAACTTCCTGATCATGTCGTTTTGCTCGGATACCCGATGTTTCAGCTCCACCATTTCACTGCCCATCTTCCCAGCGTCTCCAGGACTCTCTGCATCATCGATTTGGCGGTCTCCACATTGCTGCGTGACTTCACTTCGTCGCTTCTTTCGCCATCATTGCCCACTGACGTGACTCGCGTCGTTCGCGTCGTGATTCGCTTCGAAGCCCTTGCGGACGCATTTTCCAGTGATTGCAACGTATCTTGCACTCGTCCGCTGGGCGTCATCCTCGCGTCGGACGCGTCGATGGCGACGGGCTAGCTGGATCTGGACCCGCCCTCACATCCGCCAGGGGCACCACCTCTGGCATTGCCATGGTGGCACGCGACATCAACACCAACCCAAGAGTAAAGAGTAAAGAGAAATATAACTATCTACAGTTCGAGAGCCGATCCGAACTTTTTGCGGTTGGGATTTCTTAGGAGGTTTTTTAGTGGGTGAGCCAAAGCGAATCCCCTTAAATTGGGGGCGGGCACGAGTAATGTAAAGTCAGCCTACGGCTGAATTAGATCGATAGTTCAGTCTCTCGAGGTCCCCGAGCCAGTGATAGTTATGTCGGACTCCTCAAGGGGTCCCCGTTCGAATCGGAGATCCTCCGGACCCCTCGGTGGTCTAGGAAAAAGAAACAACAGTCTGCAGACTTCCCTTCTTACCTGGTTTTAAGCTGTATTACCTAGAGAGACCTAGAGACGTCAACTCGTTCGGACCTTCTTCTCGACATATACGCCTTCCGGTGGGACGACATCTGCGGCAAACGTTATTGAGGCCATGGTTGATCGGTTCTTGGCAATTCGATGTGCTGGGTACGGCGTGGGTGGGGCGCGCTAGGGGCACGTTTGGTAGTCTGCGGGGGAAAAACGCGCCCAGGCGCCACTTTATCAGTCGCCTGAAACCGTTCGGTCATCGGTTAGCCTACAAAGGATCGCGGAACTGTCAGAATAACGGGGGCATGGGTCACGTGCGATAGGGAGATAAGAAGATGACTCATTGCAAGAGAGCTCGAGAGAACCCCCAAAAGGGGTCCCGGGCGCGCCCCGGAGGGACACACACACAAGAATACACACATCTCTGCAAGCCTAATCGGCCTGCACTCCCACATACGATTGTTCCATTGCATCACAACTGTGCATTTCCTATTCAGTATCACCTAGAACCTTCGGTTCTGACAGGAACCCACTTAGCTGCGACGTTTTACAATCTCTATCCCCGCCCAATCGGCGGCACACTCATGACCCTTCCACAGATCGACAAATCGTCTGATTTTCTTCCTTGCTGCCGCGATGCACCCCGCGCATGTCCACTTTTTAGTCAAGTCTCTGCAAGGAGCAAGCTATCGCCTCGCATAATTATCACTGAATGAAACATCCGACTCATATGCGAGTGAATTACAGGAGGATCTCTCATGTGTTGACAAACAAATCGTGTAGCCTTATATGCCCTTGGCAACTAGGCATCCATCATCCCTGCGACATTTACTCTCTTTCCCCGGGGCCCACTGCATAAATTTAGGGACCACTTAACAATCCACCGCTTTCCGCTATCCATCCACCAAAATTGGGGTGAAGCAGAACGTGAGCTCCGTTCATTGGCTACATCCTCGAGTCATACCCGATTCCTAGAGAAGTACTCCGTACTCAATACGAAATTATCAACACCTTGTTCTACAATTGTTAAGCGGCCCCTAAATTTAGTTATGTGGACCCGATTCCGCCGCCCGAACTCCCTCAGCGGACTCCAGAACGCATGTAATCATAATGGGAGACGAAGGTGGTATCTGAAACGCATTGTGTGGAGGCCGTACATTGCCCGCAAGTATCGCTGGCATCGTCAGGATGTCAAGAGCCATCCGAGACAGCCTCGATCCGGTAACTCAACTGGGTGGGCGACGTCCCTGTCGTTCCTAGACACAATAGTCGATCGCCTGCGGACGTATTCATCTAGATGCATTGCTGACGCAACCGCAGCGCCCAAAGCCTCTTCATCTGCCGTTCACTTTGGTCAGCCATTGGATCCAACCACCGAGATGGGACGAATATTTCAACTCGTGGCGCCCCGAGCGAGCTTACTTAGAGTCATTCGGCCCGCTTTTATCCCAACCATGTCCCTACGAGGTCATTTTCCTGTCCCGCGCGTTGCAGGCATCTCTTTTGGCCGACTTTTCGGCTGAAGACCCTAAGGTCGGTCCCACAAATGAAGGCTTTGCATGAGATGGGGTCACGATAAGTGCACCCTAAGGAATGCATTGAAATGCACCCTGCATGAAAAAGTTTCAGTCTAGGTAAGAACCAGATGATCATGGTACCTGAATTAAGACGCCGAGAGTAGAGGTATCTATATAAAAGAAAGGTTAAACCTCGAGTTAATCTTATCATCTCAACAATAGCTATTTTCTATCCAGCCTCAAAGAAACCCTCTGCTTCCCGCCCCTCTCTAACCGCAATGAACCTGACAAAAACAATGGTAGCGCTATTTTCCGTCGTTATCGGCCTTTTCGCTACAGTTGCGACGCCTTACTCAATGGGAGATAGGGAAGAGAGCCCTAGCATCGCCCCCAGGGAGGCCCCCCTCGGGATTCTTTCTCCCCCGGCTGACACCGGCCAAAATATCAACTTCGATGTAGTCGCTCACCTATGCTGTCCTCCTGGAGTTCCTTGTGGAAATGTAAGACCCTCTACTGCATATTTACCTTAAGGCCGGGGACTAACTAGGTACGCAGGAAGACGGAGTAAAACAGATGGTAGGCAAGCTGAATGAAAAGTTTGCACAGTTCCAAATCAGCTTCGACCTGAAAAAACCCCACCAATTCAGCGACCCTAGGTGTTCAAATACCGACATCGGCGGTCAAAACTCACATGACGTTATGGCGTCAGTACGCGAAGGTGGCCAGAGTACCCTCAATTATCTCTTCTTGCCAACAAATTCCGGAACTTATGGCATTAAGGGGTTTACTCTTGATCCGCCTCCGGACTTTGCTAAGCCGGTGAATCCACAACATGATGGACCGCATTGCGATATGGTCCTCCTGACTCGAGAAGGCACATTTTCCGAGATCGACAAGATAATCATGGTTCACGAGTGTGGTCACTGGTTTGGACTTAAGCACTCGGAAACCAGTCCTCGTTCGAACGTAGCAAACATCATGGCTGCTAGTACCAAGTATGTATACGTATTCGCCTCTGCTAAGGTTTTGGATGTTAGTATTCTCTTCTAACCTGAGGATACCAGTGAGCATCCTGCATATGAGTTCGAATCAAGCCGGAAAGCCGAGGTGCGCCAGGTCGCGCTCATGCGCAAGGCCGCAGATGGCGCGGGTGCTCCAACTGGAGGCGACAAGGGCAACCGAACAGGAGGCTCCCCGAAATCAGACACAAACAACTCTCCGCCTTCACCACTCCCGCCAGGGCCCTTCCGACCAGGCTGTAAACCAAAGCTTCCGGGTCCACCATATCCCGGGAGCTCCGGCATCCCAAATCAGCCTTCAGGTACAGGTATCTCGAATCCGCCGGGTGGTCCAGAGAGTCCACAATCACCAAACTCTCCGTTTCCAGGGCCGCCAAAATGCATGTGTACATGCCCGGGCCATCCATCTCCATCTCGCAGGGCTGCTCATCTTTAAGAACCTGGTCCCATTCGTCTATCAAAGTTCTCGCGCCGCAATGGTGTAACAGGCTGGGCCCCGTAGGGGTCTCGGCTCTGCTCTCGACAAGACCCATACGAGTTCCAGAGCCCCGCTCAGAAGCCCCCGCCACTTTCGAGTTTTTCTCTTTTTCTTCTTCTCTCTAGCTTTAGTCTCGCAGGTTTTGGAAAGGTAAGGGTCAACATGTAAATTGAGGTTCGTCTGTTCTATCTAAGAAGGAGTGAGCAAGAACCCTATTTATGATCAACAGGGTGGCGATCAACGCAACGTCAATCACGAGGTGCCTTGAGGAACGAAAGGCTCTTCCTTCCGCCCCTTCCGTAAACACGGACCGCATGGTGCCCCGTGCGCTCCCCAGCCACTCTTCACTGCCACCTACTTCCGGCCAAACAGAGCCACTGCTTCCTGCTGCCCGCTCCGGCCCCTCTCCCCGGGCCGCCTGACCGCTCCGGCCATGGCCTTGAGGAACGAAAGGCTCTTCCTTCCGCCCCTTCCGTAAACACGGACCGCATGGTGCCCCGTGCGCTCCCCAGCCACTCTTCACTGCCACCTACTTCCGGCCAAACAGAGCCACTGCTTCCTGCTGCCCGCTCCGGCCCCTCTCCCCGGGCCGCCTGACCGCTCCGGCCATGGCCTTGAGGAACGAAAGGCTCTTCCTTCCGCCCTTCCGTAAACACGGACCGCATGGTGCCCCGTGCGCTCCCAGCCACTCTTCACTGCCACCTACTTCCGGCCAAACAGAGCCACTGCTTCCTGCTGCCCGCTCGGCCCCTCTCCCGGGCCGCCTGACCGCTCCGGCCATGCTCCGGCCGGTCGGCGGCTCGCCCTCACTTCGTGACCGCCATTCTTCTACCAACCAGCGGGACCAAGGGTCTTGACCTGACCTACGCACTCCGTGAGCCCTCTGATCTTCCAACGCCGGATTCTTGCTGGGCGCCATAGCAGATCATTCCCTCCCACTTCGTCCCAGCTCTCGTTCGCAGCACCATGCCGCGAGAACACCCAGCCACTGTCGCACCCGAAGAGGTTCACCGCACCTTGAGGATCTTGAATCGCAGGCGTCCTATCGGCGCCGGTCCTACAACGCCCTTCACCGCTTGCCAGAGTCCCCACGATGAGATCCTCCGTGTCTTGCGAGATATGGACCGCCAGCGCGCCGAAGACCGAACCCGCCGCCGTGAAGCTCAATCCCGATTTGCTGCACAGACGCCGCCGCCCGCCACTCCATCACCGAAACGACCTAGACAAGAGCAAGCGCCTCTCACTCCGCCGCCGACGCAGCCAAGGCGCTCCCCCAAAAGACCCCGGCCGATGCGAGAAACCGTTCAACTTCAACGAGACTCTGTCGAATCCATACTGCATCACTACAACGCCACTTTCCGCGTCAAGGAGCAGGCATCATCGACAAGATCCTGGTGCAACGAAGTTCCGGTTGCCCTCCAGGTAGAGGCTGCTAAATCTTTCTACCAAGCGTTTACCGAGGAACGGACGTTGCCGGTTTCCCACTGCGTCTTCTGCTATAGGAAGACACCGCCTTGCGAACTCGCCACCATACAGTGGAGGGATCGCTTGTCGCCCTCCATGCTGCAGGCGACCAAGACTGTCCAAGAGTGTGGCGCGTGCCTTCCGTCACACGAGGGCGCCAGAGTTGACGTGTGCCGCGAGTGTCGCGCCGGCTTCGACAGTGGACGGCTGCCCAAAGCCTGCTCGGTCAACAACATGGCCATCGGTTGCGAACATCGGTACCCCGAAGAGCTTGATGACCTCTCCCCCGTTGAAGAGAGACTCATTGCCCTGCATGCACCTTTTGGCTATATCACCAAGTTCACGGTCGACAACAAGACCCGTTCGGGAATCAGCTACCGCAAGCACGTGAAAGGACACATCGTCGTCTTCCCGAACAAAGTGGATGATCTTGTGGCCACGGTTCTTCCTCATCCCTTACTGCAGGCCATTGAGAACATCCACGTCTCTTGGAGCGGTCCGGGCAAGCCTGGCTCCGCAGACGTCAGACACCTGCTTCAAGTGCGCAAATCTCGAGTGGCAGCTGCCCTGGCATGGCTGCAAAGGAACAACCCGCTCTACGAGGATATCGCAATTAACCAAGCAGAGATAGATGGCTGGCAGTATGCCGACGGCTCCACTGTTCCGACCGTCATCATGGACCGCATGCGAAGGAGGAACCGTCGACCGTTGAGAAGACACAAACGGACCACATAGTCCCGGACACTGATCGAGGCTTGGAGGAAAACAGCTTCAGAAGCATCGATGAACTGGTGAACTCGATCAACCCCACTTTTGCGGCTGAATCCTGCGATTTAGATCGTACTCTGTCCCCGAGCAGACTCAACCATCCCTGGTGAGCCGGCGACTCTTGTCCCCGACTCGGCTGCCATCGGCCTGGAAGTTGACGCCGTCTGTGAGATGTCTGCTTCCGGCATGTTTCCTCTCAATGGACCGGCTGCCTTCGCCGAGACCGATAAACTGTCGTTTCTGGCCGACATCGTCAACGCCAATCCGGATCGACATGGCAACTCTGTGCCGTGCGTTATGCAGGTCCAAACTGCGGAGACCAGCCGTTTGTCCGAGTAGAGCGTGGTGCGGATTTTGCAGACAACTTGCACGAAGATTTCTTCCTCGAACATTTCCGAAGCTTTTTCCGTGGGAAGGGTGGCCCGAAATCAAAGGGCGACTCGAGTCACAGCCGACAAAGCGTTGTTGCCGACCGTCGTCCGAATCACTCGCTTAATTACTGGGCCAGATACGTATTGCGACGGCACGGAGGCCGATTTGCCACCCATCCTGTCTTTTGTTTCTTAGTATTCAACACCCTCCTTCGCTCCTCCAACCGCCGCATCAGCATGGTTCGTGTCGCTAAAGATTCCTTCCACAGGCTCGAGCAAGCGTATGCGAACTTGAACGAGGACCGACTGAAGAGAGCCGAGGCGGAGATGCGGGAGGCAAGGACCACGTCGGACCCTGACATATCGGTCTTGCTTCGCGAGCTGTCGATTTTGGCCACGCACAGCCGCTCTCGAACGAATCCCGTTTGCTTATGCGGAGGAAGATACAAGCTGTTAACATTTGGGCCGGTATGCCTGCAGTTTGGATTACCATCAGTCCCAACGACATTAATAATCCGATAAAGATGAAACTTGCCATTCATAGGCTGCACGATTATGACTCTGCAATGGAGCTTTTAGCCGATCTCCGTGAAAGGTACGACAGAATCGCCCTCAGCACCATGGATCCGGTTAGCTCGGCCATCTTCTTCCACCGAGAAATATCCTTATTCTTTGACAAGTACGTGAACACGGGCCAGGAATCGATCTTTGGAAAGATTAGCCACTACTACGCCACGGTGGAAACGAACGAGCGAGGCAGCCTCCACTTACATGGACTCCTCTGGCTGGACGGCAACATGCGGTTACCGAACCTGGTAGACGATATGGCCAATCCTGCGGAAGAAGGATACCGTGCCCAAGTGACCCGGTACGTAGACTCTGTCTTTCACGAGTGTTTAGATGAAGATGCTGGAAAAACCCTGCGACAACAGAGGAAGCCCATCCATCCCGTGGAGGAGGTCATGACCAGCACCTCGGCTCTCACTGCGGCCTTCGAAGACGAATCCAACTTCATCGCGTACTGTTGCCAAGTGCACTCCCACACGTACACCTGCCTCAAGTATTCTCTGAAGGGGATCGTTGAACAGGGTGCAGATCCACAGAGACGGACGGCCTGCCGCTTCAAAGCACCGTGGAAGATCGTCGACGAGACAGGGTTCACAGAGGACGGCTTGCTTCAGATCCGGCGCAACCATCCACTCGTCAATCGGTATAACAAGTCATTGGCGGTCGGCCTTCGTCATAACCATGACGTCTCGATGATCTTGACCAAAACCAAGGGCCTGGCCATGGTGTACTACATCACGAACTACGCCACCAAACTGGATACGCCGATGTGGAAACGCATTGCTCTTGCCGCCGAGGTTGCCCGCCAACTTCGCGAAGCCGGTCGTCCGACGTCTCGCGCACCAGATCCCACCCTGCCCGACGACAGGCAGCAGGCAGTATTGAATGAAAGCCGTCAATTCCTGATGAGAACGGCAAATCGGATCTTCTCCGAGCGACAACTCTCGGCCGTAGAGGTCTGTTACCATCTCCTTGGATATGACACCGACTTTACCAACGTGCCGCATTGGTCTTTCCTGAACCTGACGGCGCTCTATTGGGCAATCTTTCGGCTATGGGCACATCTCCGCCATCAGGCCGGCGAGCTGACGGACGCTGAACAGCCCCCGGAGACAATCCGTCTGAGGCAAGGAGGGCGAACCCTTTTATACCTGGACGCGTACGCGTACCGGGGCCATGTTCTACGAGACCTATGCCTGTACGACTATATGTCAATGATTCATTTGATGCGTCGAAAAAGTCGGAGTGAAGACGACTCTCACATTTTCTCGATGGGCAGGATTCCGACTGTGACGGCTGGATGCAAAAGCTTCGACGGCCAGACCAGTACGCCGTCCCGATCTTCCAAGGATACATCAGCGACGACCATGAGGACGATCACCCAGTGTATATTAAGCGGTACGCTCTAACCCCCCAGCAACATTTTGGCCCCGTCTGACAGCCTGTGCAGAAATTCGGTCCTACATTTGGCGTTATTCGTCCCTTGGGAAAACTTCGTTTCTGAAAGCCAAGGCGATATAACCGACATATGGACGAGGCATCGGGCGGGCTTTGTCCCGCCTCCGTTTCCATGTCTCCAACATTTGTCTTTTGAAAGTCTGCCGAAGACGCGCGTAAAGACACGAAGCTCTGGGCCAGTCGATCGGAGGGTGACGACACAATTGACGTTGAGTACCCACTGGACGACGGCCACTACGAGGATGAGCCTCCAGCGATGGCTCAACATCAGGCTTACACAGCTCTACTCCAGATTTTGCGAAATGCCGTGCAAGATACAGACGCCACGAAAGACTCCCCGTCCTCTTGGATCTAATACGCGACGTGCGTAAGGGAACCTCGCTGGAGGACAACCTTTGTCCAACGTCAGGAGGATCTGTACCTCAATATACCCCACGACCAAGGCGACACCTTGTGCCAATTCCCAATATTATCTCGAGATGATGTCCAAGCAGCAGCCAAGGCCCAAGACCTGTTGCATCTTCGAATGCTGGACGACATCGAGGGTGGTTCTCAGGGCACCGTACTATCCACGAATGGCGCCGACATCGACGATACCCTAGCTCGCTACGGCGATATGGACACCGCCGCTGCGCTCACAGGCAGTGACCTCAATGAACAAGGACTGGAATGCTCGTTGACGTCACTCCGGCGACTAGCTTCGCGGAGATGGGGCACACCACCGCAGCCACCTTCACACTGAACTATCTACAGACCATGGCCCTTCAACTCGTTTGCGCATTTCTAGACAGGTATACGGCTAATCCGGACTCAGCTGGCCAACATCTCCAGTATACCGGCGGGCCGGGTGGCACGGGAAAGTCGAGGATCATCGATGCCCTGAAGGACGTGTTCGCGGCGAGAAACCAGCCACATCTTCTGCAGATAACCGGCACATCGGGCAGTTCGGCGGCCCAGATTGGCGGCACGACGATCCACTCGGCCTGTGGGTTAGATTCCCATCGCGATCCAAACAAACCGCCTCCCCTTTCTCGGAGGCGAAGAAATGGATCTGGAAACAGAAGCTGGTACTCGTGATTGACGAGGTCAGTATGCTTGGGGGGGCCACTCTGCACAACGTCAGTCGTCATCTCCAGGCACTCCGTGACTGTCCGGACGAGCCATTTGGTGGGATGCCTGTAGTTCTGCTGATGGGAGACTTCTACCAGTTCGCCCCTGTGCGGGAAACAAGCCTCCTGATCAATAGACCGCCGGACGGAACCCAGGCACCTCTGCGACAAGCGACCGTCTCTCACCATAGCGGCTGTAGATTGTGGCATCTGTTCAAAACCGTTGTGCTCCTCGAAGACCAGGTCCGGGCACGCGACGATCCCCAACTCGGCGCACTCCTGGATCGAGTTCGTGACGGGCGGCAGACACGGCAAGACCTCGACTTGCTCAACGCCAACATTGTAGGACGCTCCCAAATCACCTTCGACAATGGTTTGCGTGCTATAACGCCGCTGAACCGCACCCGCTGGGCCCTCAACATGGAAGCTGTCGTAGGCTGGGCGCGCTTCAACAAGCAACATATCCGTATCTTTATCTCGACTCACACCTGGCGCAACGGCACGCTTTCTCCAAACATCATAGCACAAACCATTGGACAAGGTGATGACTCTGTCTGCAAAGTCCCTGGTGTCTTTTTCTACGCCCAAGGTATGCCGGTGGTTGTGAACAAGAACATCTATACTGGCTTGAAAGTTGTCAACGGAGCCGAGTTTACTGCCGTGGACGTTATACTCGATCCCAATCACCCAGGATACTACTTGGCAGATGACGTGACAATCCACTTCGGGCCACCGCTAGGCATTCTTCTGCAGTCTCAAGAGACGAAAACGTTGGCGATACCGTCCCTGCCGTTGGGGACCGTGCTCATCCGACCCATGTCACATACGCTCGATTCGACTAACTCTCACTTCAAATTCTTGTCAGCAAGATGCACACGACGTGGATTACCCGTGGCACCAGCGTTTGTTCTTACCGATTACAAGGCCCAGGGTAAAACGTTCGTCGAAGTACTTTTGAGCTACGTGGAAATCGTGTGACCAATGGGGAACCCTCCAAATGCAATTTTACGAGCCTCTATGTGCAACTGTCCAGGTGCACTACGCTTCGGGGCATCAAGCTTCTCGGTCCCGTGAGACAGCATGATTTCATTGGCAATGGGCTGGATCAGGCCATAGTTGATGGAATGCAGAGACTTAAGAACTTGGCCGTAGAAACGAGACGAATGTACGAGAATTAGGGTTGCGAAAGATAGGCATACTGACCAAGTTCGGGAACGGGGGGGGGGGGTCCTTTAGCACTGCCGGGCGCGTTGATACTTGCCGCCGGCCAACTAATGCTTTAGTCCGTTCCTCAAGGCATTGGCGGACCCTGGAAGGGGCCGGTCTCCTGTCTCACCGGGTCCCTTAACACCAGCTCCATCCACACCCGAGCCGTCAACACCAGCCGAGGCCCGCGCCACTCGACGAGACGAAGATCGATTGTTCCACCATTTCCGTGGTTACACATGGGCCCAGCGAAGCCGAAACACAAAATCATGGGTATGGAAATAGGGCTTTGATATCGAGAAGGGCTCGGATCGGCGATGGGTTTGCAAAGTTTGCATCGAACGAAACAGGCCGAAGCCCGGTACTGTAATTTCCATTGGCACCCAAAACGGCTGAGCGGCATCTCTGGGACCTGTCGTGAAAACGGGTTAACGATCTAAGTCCGAAGGTTACCTAGTCGGGCTGACTCTAGCAAAGGTGACTGAGAAGGATGAATAATGTCGTTGGTAAGCGGTGGTATCGAACCTTCTAGATGACAACGTCATCTACTAGGGGGGTCTAAAAGTCGACCCCCCGCGCTTGAACATCAAGCACGGGGGGGCCATTGACTAGGAAAAGGGTCACTGACTGGGAAATGCCTGGGAGTACTTTACTTTACGGATATTTGGGCAGTAAGTGAAAGTACCCCTTTTGAGGTAGATTTATTTATCGGGGCGATCTAAATAAGCGGTATAATGCGGTACTTTCTATTACACTAATTTCTCGGCGAGATAGAGGTACCTTTTCCTTTCCCAGTCAGTGACCCTTTTCCTAGTCAATGGCCCCCCCGTGCTTGATGTTCAAGCGCGGGTACGGTGGGCGATAGGGGTCACTGTTGCAAAACTCCCTGTCATTTTCTTTTGGGTTTAGGCGCCCAGCCCCCTGGTCATCCGTATACTTCAGGTCAGCATGAGAGTATGTACTGCGGACTAGCAGCGGGCCCGCACGGTCATCCTTCTGCCAGTCTAATTGCCAGTTTGCCGCACCAGTCGTAAAATGGTATCCGGCTCGCAAACCACTTACACACGTATGGATGCGCATGATGCTATACCCAAAATTCGTTCCTGAAAAGCTGATCGATATTTTTCCAAGTGAAATCGAGCGAGCGGCGCGGTGTTTTCGCCAAACAACTTTACTTTGGTATTGTCGCGGCCCGAAGACAGCGACAATACCAAAGACAAAGACGGCGAATATTGCCAAGTCCCCTCCCCTGGATGGCGCTGGGAACTTGTGAAAGCCGGGCCCTACAGACAAAGAATGCAAATACACACGAGAGTTTGAGGTCTTCTGCTATACGGTGCCGAGTTGAAACTTTGGACTTTAATGTTTCCACTTCCTCCTGGCCACCACAGCTGTGTTCAGTTTTCATCCTAACGTTCATAGGAGTAACTGGGACGAGGAGCGGCGCCATGAGGCAGCAGAGGATTACCGCAGTAATCCCGCTACTGGTCAGCACCGGACTAGCGTTGAAGTCTCTTGCTAAGCCTGGCGATCTTCATTCGCCATGGCAAGGGGATATTGTTCTGTAACTATTCTGCTTATATTAAAATCCCGTTTCCGAGTCCGATCCTATTTGTCCTCCTTTTCCCCTGGTTCTACCTCTTCTCCTCAACCGAAATGGGCCCTCCACAGATTCCCCCTGGGCATGTCTACTGCGTCCAAGCCGGACAGAAGCACTATGACCTCTTCACTACCATATACGTTGGCGCGAACTATTGCGGCCGTTGCGGCTTGGCCAACCCCTTTCGGCCGCAGCGTCGGGCCAGGTCTAAAACTCCGGCACTTCCTGGCCCATATGATGAGGTGGTCGAGGTCGAGGACTCTCCGCCACGGCCAGTCAGTCCAGCAAGTCAGCTGCTGCGTGACAGACTGAAACCAGTGTCATCCATCGGCGTTGGACACGCCGCCCAACTACTCCCCAATGAAGTTGCTGGTACCGGTGCGATGAATACACGGGCACGCATACCTCCCTTCGAGGCGTCAAGCAATCCCCAGTTCATGACCGTCGCATCAACGGCCAGTCGAGCCATTCAAAACTCCAAAGGCAGCACCAGGAAGCCTGCGAGGCAACGAACTGGCTACCAGTGGGTCCATGTAAGCCTGCTGCTTGTGAGTTTGGAGACCAGGTACTTCAACGGGCTTGCAGTGGAGGTTCCAGAGACGGTGCTGCCTCTGAAGGATACGGTGATCAAGTTTCCCTCGGCAGATCTACTGACTTGGCCCTCGTTCACCGAGACTTTATTCGATCACCTCCGTCCGCTTCCGCCCACGATCGATCCTGCCAATAAAGATCTATCGCACAGGGTGTAGAGCAGCAGCAAGCATGAAGATCAGGAAGTGGAAGAACTCTTGATTTAGCTATCTAGAGGGGAAAAGGAGCAACATCTTTATAGATGACATAAAGGAGTGGCTGGGAGATGCTAGAAGCATCTGATCATATAGTGTAGGTGCCTATAACGTGTGCATAATGTTGATGGTTGGTGTGGCTGTTTGGCATAGTGTAGATGGTAGGGGTTAGCCTGTTGGAGGCTGATATCCTGTGTGTGACAAGATCTCTGGAACATTTCTTACGCTTCGACCTTCTCTGGCAAGAAAATCGTTACCGTTCCAAACACCGACAAGTACACGACACCGTCAAGCATGCTCGCATCGGGGCACTTTTCGAACAACCAAGCAGGGCAGTTGAAGGTGCTAGTCGTTCTGACATCC